TGATGCTTTCATAAAGTTTCATGTCATGACCGACATACTCGCTTCCTTCACTGTGTTTTCCGTCACTAGTTATTCTAACTTTTTGACAATGCACTTTCTATATTCTTCACCAGCTAATAGGCCGCGAGCCGAGGCCATTTATCTTTCAGTTTCGTAGCGCACATCAGGTAACTACCTGAAAATGATTTTAAAATGTTCCTTAGAAATTTAGTAACAAATATTGCCTTGTTCCCACTTCCAAAAGTTGCACGTTTTACAGAAAAGACGCTTTTACTACAATAAATATGTGTTACCATCTGTCCTATTTTCTCTGCTTTTCCGGTATCATGGGCCAATGAACGCAGACTTCTGTACGACGTAACAGTCAAGTTAGTCAGCTGTAGGTGGATCCCCAGTGGTCGGATGAATATCAGATGTACTGCAACTGCTCGCTTTTGCGTTGAGTAGCCTTTCCGTAGTTTTTTTCAGTTACCGGTAATATTAGTTCAGTTATTCTAAGGAGGTGTTGAAAAGTATAGGTAAGATATTAAACACTTGTATATCCTTACCATAAATAGCAATTTTAGTTGAGCACTAGCTCATAAGACGTTGTTAAATAGGTACGGTGCGGTAACTCCAAGGAAGGCTAGACCTAGAATAATATGTCACAAACAACGATATTTTCTGGCTTGCATGAAATGTTTATGATTAATTTAATGACTCTTCTTGACTATTCAGCAGACTTATACTACTATATAGGCCACAGCATACGGTATTTGGAAATAGAAATGAATGGCTGTTTCTGTAATGCACGGTTGTGTGGAACAGAAGAAATTAATCAATTTTACTAATGTCGGTTGGTCTAAATCTAAATTCATAGAGTCGACAAGAACCTGGGAAGCAATGATAAGTTATGCCGGAGTGGAAAGAAAGGTAGCATTGGAAACGATTGAGAGGTGAGAAATCAAGTTGTAGACACACAGTTGATGTTTCAAAATATAGTCTATAGTCCATACTCATACTGTCATAGGACATTTCAGACTGTGATATATCAAAATTTAGTGTAGATATAGTCTAGTAATGGTATGCAAACACTGCTGGACTGTAGTACATGCAATGAGCATATATACGCTCATTTAGTACATCAGATAAAATGCATTATGTACTCAAGGTATTAGTTAGTATTTAGGGGTATTTTTAAAATCATGCTGCTCCAAATATTATTTTCTTCCTTATTTTAGATACTGTACTACAAAAGAAAACGGCACTGTTCCACCAATCCGACCTAACGCAGGCTCTGACCCCTGCTGCTATCAGTGCTATAAAATGGATTAAACAAGAAGTCTTGAAGCTTAAAGGTATATGAGATTCATAATAGTTGCAAACAGCTTAGATGGGCTATTCATATTGAAATACTTTAGCACTTTTCTGCAATTGGAACTGCCCATCAAATTCATGTTGGAGACTTCATTGAGATTTTCAATTCATTTTTTTCCCTCGACTATGAAGATCTTTTGAGGTTAACGAGGCATTAATAAATAAAGCTGAGGAATTTGAAGAGGATATGAAGAATGTAAATGATACCAGGGCACGTCTATTTAACACTGTCAAACATAAGGATTATACTCTCCACCCAACAATGATTCACTGAAGAAGCATGTGGCCCTCAAATCAGTTCTTGAGTTGGCAAACTGAAAGAAAAATAGTCAAAATAATTTATGAAAGTGTGCCAAAATCAACTTAAATCACATTACACCTATAGAGGAAAAGTTGATTTTTGAGATAGTGGATTTCGAAAACAATTCAGAAGAAAGTGAATTAGATATTACAGTTGATTTAATAAGTATCATACATTTGTTTTTTTTTCGGACATTTGTTAGTGTCGTAGTCCTGTTTCTAGAAATATTATTGCCTTTGTTCAAATACATAACCACATAAACTAAAAAAAGATTAATTGTAAATTGTAATATTTCTGTTCACTATGTCATGTACATATTGTACATTCATTTAATTTTCTTGACTTTTGCGGTAAATTTCTAAGTGAGAAATAACTGATTTATTTGTGTTTTCGTGCTCACGATGTTAATTTGTGACTTCATTGCTTAAAAATAAATACGTTTGATAGCTTCTATAAAATGGATGTAGCTTTTTATGCTGTTCTTGTTGTAAACTGCCTGTGGTTATTACATAAAATTTATTCGCAAATGTGAATCAGCGTTGTTGGTGTCGCTGCTTTCGAGGTCACTCCCGACTCCTGTCACACAATTAAAGTATTTTTTGTTGTTGGTTACATGTATGCCATATTTTTCGTAATCTACCTAATAAATTATGATTGACTGAGGAAGTCCGATTTTGGTCAGGCAAAACATTACAGGAATACATTTGTGTTAGTGTGCTGTAGGGCTCTCGAATTGTATAGTTCTTATGTATGTGTTGTAAACTTATGGTTATTGAATTTCCGGGAACCTCTTATATTCAATTTCGCACCAGGATTCTGGAACAAGCTGTAATGCGTTCATTATGTTCGTTTTCACACAAAACTGAAGAATTTATTTAGTTACCAGATGTGCGCTACGAAACTCATTTTCTGGGCGTTTTCATGGTTTCGTCTCACGGCCCATATCCGTGGTAAGGATCTACAAGTGTTTAATAATTTACTTATACATTTTTCAACAACGTCTTAGCATAACTTAACCAATAATAACTAAACAGGGCTATGGAAAGCCTGCCCAACTCAGCGCAAGGTCGAGCAGTAATAACTAATATTCATCCGCTCGCTAACAGCTGGTTTAATTCAATTGTTACGTCATGCAGAAGTCATTGTTCCTTGCCGAAAATGTAGAGAATATAGGACAGATCGTAGCACATATTTCCTGTAGTAAAGGCGTCTTTTCCGTAAAACGTGCAACTTTTGGAAGTGGGAACAAGGCAATATTTGTTACTAAATTTTTAAGGAACATTTTAAAATCATTTTCAGATAGTTACCTGATGTGCGCTACGAAACTCACTTTCTAGGCGTTTTTCAGGGCCTCGGCTCGCGGCCTATAATTGATTACACATGATTTGTATTTCTTTTTTGATACATCCATTTTGTTATAAAAATGTACATTTCTTTGTTTTTTCCACAAATAATTTATCAGCCTGTTACATCGTGCATTTCAAATTTCCTCCACCACCAAGTCCATGCATCTGAAACAAATAACTGGCTAACTAATCTCATACCGTACTCGGCATAAACTGGCAACAGGACGAGAGGCCGTGGTTCGCGGGTTGGTGGTTCGTGGGATGGTGGTTCGAGAGGCCGTGGTTCGCGGGGATGAACCTTGCTTTTGCGGGGATGAACCTTGCTGATTTAAATAATAGGTAATTTATTCGTATTCATATATTGATTACTATTTGTGTATTTGCAATAACTGCCTTAAGTTTGAGGCTGAACCGTTGTGGATTTGAATAATAGTTTATTTATCCATATTTACATATTGAGTACTTGTTGTGTATTTGCAATAACTGCCATCTAATATTGAGACTGAACCCTTGCTGATTCGAATAATAGTTTATTTATCCATATTTATATATTGAGTACTATTTTTCTATTTGCAATAACTGTCATCTACCCTTGCTGATTTGAATAATAGTTTATTTATCCATATTTATATATTGAGTACTATTTGTGTATTTGCAAAAAATTGTCATCTAATTCGGGGGCTAAGCCCTTTCCCGACTATTTGTGTATTTGCAGTAACTGCCTTACCTTCACATCATTCATTCATCCGTATTCTTTATATTGAGAACTATTTTGTGCATTTGCAAAATCTTTTGTTTATTTGAGAGACTGACCCTCGCTGCTTCAAATAATGTTTATTTATCCAAATTTCCACTTATATATGAGGGCTACTTGTATATTTGCAGAAACTGCCTTTTATTTGCAAGGCTGATTTATTGCTGCTCCAAATAATAGTCATCGTTTACCAATTTAAATATTGGGTTTTAGTTTTTCATATGCCACAGTTGTCGTCTTGTTTGAAAGGCTTACTCCCTCACTGATTCAAATAATAGTTATACCACCTAAATTGTATTTATATATATGACTATTGATCGTATGTTTATCAAATTGTTTCTTATTTGGGGTATGTAATAGTTTTTCAGTCACTCATTTGCCAAAAATCTTTCTTGTTGTAAGGCTGATTCCTCTCATTAAACCATTGTTTTGATTTCACAGAGAAAAAATTATTTACTTTTTCAAATTTGTATTAATCTGTACATGCGACTCAACCCATCTCCTATTTTCTCATTTTGTTTTTAATCAATACAATTGTCATTGGATATGAAATTTGTAGCCCGATTGCAGGCAATCTAAATTAGATAACGGTTTTAAACGTTAGGTTTCACATAACATCACTTGGAATATCAAAACGATAAATAGCATCCCGATCTCGCTTACATATGTTTTCCAAATATGTATCCATGACGAATGCTACAATATTATTACAATATTGTGATTTAACCTTTTTTATAAATTATTCTCCCTACACAAAATCAATGCAATATTTCTTCAAATGAAATAATGGGTTTCTTAGTTGTATCATATGACATTTATTTTGTTTGTTTCATAACTTTTTTATATTGCTGTTTGTACATTCAACATGTGTATTTGTGTATATAGATGTTAACATCCTGAACAATTGCTTAGTTCACTTTTTTTGTTTTGTTTGTTTTCTCAAATTTTGTTTCGTGAACTTTAACAATTTCTAATAGTCAAATTTTACTGTGAACTTATCAGCGTAAACTTGGAGGGGGCTGACTTCCATGACCGCATGGTCGTATCGCTCCCTCCAGTATATACCGAAAAAAGTGTATTTTTTTATTGCCATTATTTATTTATTATTATGACTGTTTTTTTCTGGTTGACGAAATAAATCTCTCTCTCTCTCTCTCTCTCTCATATGAACAAGCCGTCTTATCGACTTCCTCTCCTCTGGATAAATATGTAAATCCTCCGCCTCCTCAGGTTACTCCTTTTTACATGTTGCTTTTGATAACTGCAACCGAACTAAAACTAAGTGAGGACAAAGTGACAGATAAGTTATCTGATTTATACTTACATTTTGCAAACATAACTAGAAACCAACAAACAACACTCAAAGTGCCGAAATTAGTCAGCGTTCACAATCATTAAAAACTTGAGTGAATACGGTGTCTGAGCGACCGCCCAAATTTTAAGTGTTACGTCACTATTTACTGCTTGCTGAATAGATATTGTCACGGAAATAAAATAGGAAGTCAAGGATCGGAATTCGAAGCCTCTCACAACTTACGAATTTCGAGTGGACGAGCGACGCATTAGTTCTTCGTTGCCATTTTGTTGATCTTAACATAAAACTAAAATGAAGCAAAAATAAAATTTCAATTGTTTATCCATTGAGTTTATATACCTCAAAGATATTATCTGAAAACTAGAATTGCTCGGAAGGTATGGCGTTTGACCCTTGACCGGTTGACAGGGAAACATGACGCTCTCAGGTATACAAGTTATTGAGGTCCGGGTCTAAAAAAGTCACAACTGTAACGTAAATGTCCGCCAACCTTCATAGTCAATATAGTCGGCATGCTGAAAGGAGAAGCTGTTGAAATCCTGTCCAATGCTGGATTTCAAGAACGGGACCCAAATTCCGTGGTTAATTTGGCTCGAGCAAAAAAGTCTGTTCGGTTTTCCTTCATCAGAGCGAAAGATGCAAACGCAGCAAGAAATCATTGTGCAGCCATTGAAATATCGAGGCATGTAAGGGGTTATTTATGTAGGTGAGTACAATGCTTGCATATTTTCATTGCTTGCTGAAGATATAAGAGATATACACATAAAGAGTTAGCATGGGTTCTTTAACTGTTTAAGAACAACAATTACTGCATTATATAGTATTGAATCTAATCCTGTTACTGTGTAATCAATCATAATATTTATGTTTCTGCTGTCATGTGAAATAAATATGACAATCTGACAATGCAATAAGGAAAACACAGATTAAATCCAATGTCATGAAAAGGATTCAAAAAGTTAAAAATACAAGTGCAACTAAGATGTTGTGCTCTTAGTCTTCATTTTGATATAATACTACTTCTAAAGAGCGACCCATTCTGGTGAAACTCAAAAACATCAATATTAAGATATTCTCAAAGCACAGAAATGTTGGTGACTCTAAACATCAATGCTCCAAACTGTATAGTACCTGTTTCTTACAGTTTTATGATTTAGTTATACTTGGTCAGTTAACATTTTGTCTGAAACCTATTAGATCCTGGGTATTGCCACAGATAGACAAAGGACAAACAGAAGGTCGTTTGTAACATGATTCTACTAATATTATAGACCACTTCTTTGGCCTTATAACTACTAAAAATATAATATATGTTTGTATGTATTTTCCAAGTTTCAAATTTTGGCACAAGAATATATATGTAGCATAGATTTTAATTTTCCATGGCTTGTATTATATTATGTCAATGTGAATCTTATATTTTAAATATAGGATTCATCTCAAAGAACTTTTCTCTCAGAATGATGACAATGTTGAAGAACCTGTACCTGTAATAAAAGAATTGACACAAAGTAGAGATGTTGAAAATGAAATATCGATGGTCACTGATCCATCTTCAGATATTTCAAAACCATCTGTAAATATTTCTGCTCATTCAGTAAGTTCTATACGAAATATTTCAGTTGCATCACCTCAAGCAGTTGTAATAATAATTTAGTTTATGTTATTGGAAGCCACTAACAGACTAAGGACAGCTGTTTGTGTCTATCACAAAGTAATGATGATTATATGCTGGATCGCATGTTTAAAACCAATTCATCAAAAATGGCTATACCACACAGTCAATTTTGCTTGTATTTTCTCCATAGTTGATGTCTGGACATTTAACGGGCATTGTGGTCTAGTGATTAAATCATTATACTTAACTCTGATGCATTCGCAAGTTTAAAATCTCAGTTCCAAACTACACAACTTGGGCCCAAATCCCAAGCCCCAACGTCACCCAGAGTGTATTAAATTAGGTAGGCAATGCCGAAACAGAAAGCTTCCGGATCGTCCAAAAAAAATAGTAGAAAGTAGCTACTTTCATATCAGTGACTGTTGATGCAGAGCAAAAGAGGTTTGACTAGGGTATATAAATTTCCTTATGCTAAACAGATATGAAGGAAAGCTGTGCATGGATTCCAAAACGTATCTATACATTATATATATCTGTGCCACAGCTATCAATCTGTGTTAACGATATCAATGAGCGCTATAGGCATATACTTCATATAGTCATAAACAGTCTGGATAGTATTTCTATGCCGACTAAAAAAAATTTCATCCATTTGTTTTCCTTAAGGAAAAAGAGCAGAAAACATCATCAAATGACATTGTTAAAACAATATCTAGTGATACGACTGGGTATGCTGCCACAACTGATAAGACAGGTAGGCATAAAAAAATTTGCTATGTTATTCGATTCATGTATAAGATAGACTCAATATTGGGGAATTCTTATCTGCTCAGCACAGGGTCATAAGCACTCACTTCTAGAAGGTAGAAATTTTACAGATAAGAAATATAAATTAACTAAGCAAAACTTTCAAATTCAAAATTCTACAAATTTTGCTGGGTTATATTAATTTAGTGAAATAGTGTCAAAAAAGAAATCCAAAATATAAGAATTTCCTTTTTGACTTCATCTAGCTTTATGATGGCTTGACTGCATTTTTGTTGCAGTAATCGTTTATAAAATAATATTGCAGATGGATCTCTTGAAGCGGACAAGTCTACTTTGTCTGGGATAACGTCAGGAACTGAGGGAAAAGAAAGTGTCAAAATATCATCACCAAAACAAATAATTTCAAAGCGTGATAAACTTAATCATCCAAGCCTTCAACAAACATCAATCAAACGTCAGTATACAAGACCTCAAGCAGCTACTGTTATACAAAAAGCATGGAGAAGGCATATTGTAAGGCTACTCTTGAATGTTGTTTTGATATCATCCAGATTTGCCTTGTCTCAGGTCAATCTATATGCCCACAAGTTTACAAGTTATCTTCTGTTCATTTTTTCTGCCACTGAAAATCAAATTGGTATCATTTTGTGAGTAATCAAGTATTCGAAAACTATAAAAACTGATATTTACCTCCAAGAGTATAAAGCTGAAAACAATGTCTATTTTGTGTCATGTTCAATGAATTTTCTTACATATACAACTAATTACAATAAAAAGATACAAACAATGAAGATCAGAAAAAATTTTTTTTTTTAAAATGGTCGTTTTTCCATTTGATCATATCAATGCGTAAGATATTATATATAGTGAAGTGATTTATAATTTTACTTCGATACAGGATATGCAAGTGTTTCGCTACTATAGAGATTTGATTAATTTCCGAAAACAAGGAAGTCCAGCTTTAATGTTACGCTGTATCAATCCTGCTGAAGCAAAATTACTTGATGCCGCCACAGGAACACACATCAAGTTTCGACTTGCCGGGGTAAATTCATACTTTTTAAATCATTAGGTAAACGAGATATAATGAAATTTTAACACCTTGTCAAATTTTTCATGTTATGGTTAGTTTATGTGTTCTATATATTTGAATGGATTGATCTTCAGAATTCTTTTGCGATTTTACTGGAATAATACTATAAACAGCATATAGAAATAGTTATCAAAGTTTTGACACACAGAGCCCATTCAGCAGACACCCAGACACATTAACCATCAGACGCTCTGCTGTCATAAATTTCCTGTAAGCATCTCTTACTCTGTTGAAAAAAAATTTAAATCCAAGAACTTGAAATTTGCTCTTTATCAAAGACTTCATAATTTTAGTTCATTTTTTTCTACAATACTATTCTCATTTCATTTCAGGACAAATTTCCACCAAATATATATTATAAAATATATACTCACCGACCTGTTGTGGATATGTGTGCCAACAGTCCCAAAGATTATACAAATCCTGATGCAAAACAGGCAACATCAAAACAGATTCATACAAAGTAGGTTTATAATTTATTTTGTTGCCATTCTAGTTTTTCGATATTGTGTGATCATTGAGCAGGAATACCATACCAACTTTTCCATGGTAATTGTTCTTATTTATGACTGTGTTCTAGGGATTCTAGATAATATCTATCATTTATCCAGTTTTCTTTAAAAATAATTTGCATTTGAATATTTTAATTAGCAGTATTCCCAGAGTTGAATTAGCAAAATGATTAATAGCCATCAATACAACGTTATCTGAAGGATAAATTTCAAATTTATAACATTTGTATTTACTAATCAGAAACATTATATATCCTGATACTGAAAAAGATGGCTGGTATATGAGGGTGGAAAATAATGGATGGAGGTTGGTTTCAGACAGATTGATTCATGCAGCAATGGTGAGTTTTTACTTTTAAAATAATATTTCTATATATGCAATAATAAGTGATATGTGTCTTCAAATTTATCAATAACATGGCCATTGTTTTCACAAAACTTGTTCGAGCTCTCATCTTTCAATATTTTCTGACTGAATTTATTAAGGAAATTCCTGTTTCTTTATTCAAAAAATGAAACAATGTAAAAACTGGAGAATTTGGTAAATATGTTATGGGTGCTACTGAAATTTTATTTGTACAGATGGGATATTAATTTTATTTTTGTGTCGAACACATCTATAATCTACAAACTGCAATGTTGTTCAACTAATTGTCGTATGCTAATTTGTTGGTATTTTTGCGATAATTATTTTTGTATTCATATCACATTTGTAGGACCCAACTACCTGGGAAACTTCAAAGAAGACAGTTGAGTTTCATCACGACAAACTTGTAAGAAAATCAGATTTAGAAAGACGTAGAAGACAAAAGAAAATAGCATGGATGCATAAGATGTACAAGTAAGAAACTATACAAGAATAATATAAATATCTATTGATGGAATACATATTTGGAAAATCACTCCTCATCGATGCACATTACTTATTACCACGTCATATTGGCAAAATTATTTCACATATGTAGGGTTGGTAGTATTCATATTCTCTGAATAGTTTTCCAATCTTCAAAGTTGGTTGCTATTACGATGTTCATAGAATATTGATCATATCATTGGTTTGTTTATATAGGCAAGGAATGCTACAAGTAAAAATAGAAGATTCAGAAACAAGTGAATTAGTAAAGAAAGCAGCTGATGGTTTGATAAATACTGTTGACTCTCATGGACCTGATGGAGTAATGGATTGGGAGGTAACATTTTTTCATTGACTTTGGGTGTCAGAAGTAGAATACTTGTACCTCTTACTGTACTTCAAAAAATGAGACTATTTTTTGCATTGGTAAAAAAAATTTGAGAAAATTACTTTGGTGTGTACAAGCTATCTTTAATGCATTTATATTTTTGCATAAAATTTTGACTTAGTTTACCGATGTTGACGAATTTTGCTTTGGCTCCTACTCTGTCGTGTTTACGATTCTGACTCCACAGCCTTGCTATCACAAATACAAATCAAAGCAATTCTGAAACTTGGAGCTTTCAATTTCTTGTACTTTTTTCCAAGGTGGATGAATTATTGCAATGGACAACTGCCCTAAATTTTGATGATTATTTGGAAGGCTGGAAAGAGACAGCAACAAGTAACATTTCGGAATACGAGGTGGAAGAAATGATTTCAGCAAAAGCTTCTAAATCCAATATTGCTTTAGAAATGCAATATGATCCTTATCCACCATACCCAGACCTTTCCATCAATAAAAAGGAACGTCCAACATCTTACACAGCAATGCAAGTTGAACAACCTTTACCAAACTCTTAGTTTTTGCAACACTGCCAACGTTCATCACTATTGAAAATAATCTGTAAAATTTAAGGTTTTGTGATCATGGATTGCGCAACTTTGTACTTACTTACCGTAAATAAACTAATGTATTATTGAATACCAGTATTTTTCGCAAACCTTGTTCTTCATTATGCAAGATATCATTGTTAATAAAAGATTGCAGAGAAACAATTGAAATCATTGTCAATCAGGGTTAGAGTCATTTTTCAATGGGGCCATGTTCATTGCTTTTCTTATGTAAAAATTCGGAATTCTTATCAAAAAGCTTGTTTCCTTGGAGTGTTGTGATTGGATATTTCGGCTTTGAAGCATACAAAACAATTTTGAATTATTATTCACTTTGCATCAAGTTACGTGAACTTTCATTAAATAGCCCATATCAAGGACGTATCTAAATAATTGACCAAAATGAAGAGAATGCCATTCATTTCTGTATAAGAATTTGCTCATCACCACCATCTTGCGAAAGGGCGGCCTTGTCAAGGATGCACTATTCTCAATTCTGCATCCCAGAATGTATAAATTTGAAATGAATATAATACAAAGGCGACAACTTATGATTAACGCGTGATTTTTGTCTCGAAATTAATGCGTCTGTGATTGCAAACACAAATGGTGAAAGCAAAAGAGAAATTTGGGGCTTCAAGTGAGAGAATTTTCGGATACAAGGCAAATCGGACCATTGCTATCATGGACTCATAATTCAAATGATAAATTGAGTTCTCAGAGGTTAAACTGGGAAACAAAACTTGTAGATATCCATGATGGGGGTTGAACCCTTTCAGCGAAGTATGTGGTGAAAGCACCGATGCCACTGGAAAGATTGTTCACAGCGAAGGGCTGTCTCACGTCCAATGTCGCAACATGCTTTATGTAAACATCCAACTACAGACATTGCTTCTGCTAACCTTCAATCTAGCCCATTTTTGCATTCCATTATATAATGAACTCACTGATCACAACGAATAAAAGTGTACACAGATTCTTGCACATCTGATAATTTTTAAAAGCAAAAAATATAAAAATTTGGCGATTTTATTAAAACAATAATATACTTTTAATATAATTTTCAAGCAGCAACAAAGTTGGATTCTTTCTACAAGAGAATCTAGCAGACCAAGATATTATAACAAAATTAGAGTAAAGTACAATCACCGCGACGTGGCACTATCCGATTATGATATGGTATGGCACACAAGTTGGTAACACTCAAATGTGAGTATTTATTTCAACTCTCTAAAATCACCCAATCATTCATAAAATTCAGTAACCAGACTGCTGCATATATGTTATCTCCTGGCAAGCTGGTCCCTGTGTAATTTCATTCTAGCATCCGCCAACGAAGCTCGGTCAACTTGAAAGCCGGCAGTACCTACTGAAGCCTCCGTTTTCCTCACAGGTATATCATCACACCATATTTTCGAAAATAAATAAAACGCATCATTGCACACTATGATATAGAACACGACTCTTCAACTTCCTCACTCTCGGAACTATCTTCAGATTCCACTGGCGTGGACTTGGATGTACTATCACTTGAAACTTGAGTATGCTGTTGTTGTTGTTCTTTTGGAGAGGACTTGCTGACATCGAGTTCTTTCACTGTAAAAACTTCGTCTAAAGAATTGTTTTCATTCGTCAAATTTTCTTTTGCCGCTGTAGATGGTGTATCTTCACGTGATATATGCCTCGATCTAGGTATGATTCTGTCCGACATCTCTGAAGTCGATCTAGTCTAGGAAGAATATTCAGTATTCCAGTGATTTGGCTGATTGCGTAATTTTATACTATTACCCTCAGACCAGTGGTCCCAAGTTTATTGACCGGGGGCCAAATCACAAGCGGAAAGATATTTACCTATGTATACTTAAGATACCGGTATAATTGAATTCTGACAAATATACATGTGCTTAACCTGCGTAACAATTGGCGGTATCTAGAACGTACAAAGAAAAAACATAAAGTGTTAAACTATTCCACTTAATTTCGACGGGCCACATTGTATCGTTAAGCGTGCCGTTATTGTCTATCAGATTGATAAAATAGATGGTGCAGTGCTATTCGTTATGTTCGAAGAGGAAAATGTCAACCAACCTGTTGAGCAATTACAGCTTGTTGTTCGGCATATTCAATCTCTCGTTCATTTACCAATTCATTTAGAGCGTTAAACTGCTCTTGCATTGCTGATAATACTTGTTCATATTGATTACTTAAAACAAAACACATCCATAAATACTAATAAATAATAAAATTGGGCATAAAACTACTGAAAAGTAAATAGACACATACCCTTGACCTATACCACAGCTCAATTTGTGAAGTGCCTATGTTATTTTGCTACCACCAGAAAGGACGATAAAAGGCAGTGGCTGATACCCAATTGCACCACATTCTTTTTGTTACCAGGCATTATTTATGCTAACCAATACCTGTTAGTCTTCAAGCTTGCTAACTTTCAAAATATAGTTTATACCAGAATATCATCTCTGGTACTTACCATTCATCACAAGCCCACTTATTTATTTGTGTGACACAATCACGAGCCCGTTGTAGAATATCAAGTTTTAAATCCTTATCTTCTCTTATCATATTGATAACTTTTATTGATCTTTCCGTATCATGGAGTACTATTGATAATATAATAGCCCATTCAATGCAACCAGACTTCAACATAACGTTAAATATGTATCTAAACAAAAAAAAAGTAAATTTATTTTATATTTAGTTTATTTACTGGAATGTTCATAAACCACCGATATGATCTAGGTTTGACGATCTGGTAGTGCATCGTTATTCCAATACCTGCCATGGCCATCGCCTCGCGCTTCAAATATAGATATTTCACCAGTACTAATTGGATATGATAATGCAAAATTTAGTGCGTCAAAACTAAAAACATCGCTACTAAAAATATTTACGAACTATCCCAAATCCATTTTTTAAATTGTAATACAAATTAGCATCAGACTTCCCTTTTTGATATTAAATAAAGATAAAATGGTAATATTGTTTACACGATAACAGCAAATTGCAAAAGTGAGGAAAAGGAAAAATAGGTGTGCATTGCTGTAACTCAGTACAATACTTTAACTCACATCAATTGCTCTCTGGTTTGTGGAGATTGTGCGCTCCTATCCAAAACATAACTTTCATATATTCCTTCTAATACTGAACTGCATATGTCATCATCGTTCAATGAACTTGTTTCTGATACATCATAATTATCCATTGAATATTTTCGATTTGCATTGTCCGAAATTGAAAGTACAGTAAGCAAGTCACTGTTTGATGAATACGCACTGTTTCTTGATAAACGATCAGCTGAAATTGTTCCCCTTATCATCTCATTTCCATTTCCTTGGTTGACTGCAAAACAGAGAACAGAACAAAAAAAAATTATTTCTAACCGTGCACTCCTTCCATGAACAGTATATGATTTCAATAATTTCAAGCATAAGTATATCTGAAAGCATATCTAAAATGCAGCCAATTGCATAAAACCACTATTACAACATGAATATAATACATGCAAAACTTCGTCAATAGAACTCATATACATTGCACAACAAGTGAAACATGTAAAGCGGAATGAATATGAACGTAGTTGTGACTTACATGATTTGTTAATAGGACTGGCATCATTACGATCCAATTTCATAATAGCTGGATAAGGCCATTTGAAATTCGTGTGAACTGCCGTTAAACATTGTACCGCATCAAGGATCCTTAAAAGGAATAAATGTTTAAAAAATGTTTGTTTAACACTTGATAAAAAAATTGGTGCAAAAATTCACATTCAGAATCCAAATGTACTCATCAAAAGTTCCATAACAAATACAAAAAATTAGGTGAATATTCAATGAGAATCTGGTAATATACCACAATGCTTGCAATGAGGGATATATGAGTCGAATGTAACATCCATATGCTTGATTTAAGAATACTTCAGAATATTTTTATGCATCAGTAGAAAAAATTCGAGCAATCATCTCCACGATATCATTTCTGCTCATTCCAATTCAATCTTGTCATGTGTATTTGTGTACTTTCTATATCAACGATACATACATATGTATAAAAGTATAAACAAAAAGATACTGATAGTAAATAATTGAGACAGACCTTGCGGCTCGGCATCGTTCTTTTTGTAACCAAGGTATTAAATCAAACTCCATGTATGCTGCAAATGTTGCTAATTCAAACAAATTTTTATCGCAGAGGAGTTGACGAGCCTGCAATTTTTGTATAAAGTTTAATTTGAATTGAAGAAAAGGTTCTATAAAACTAGTATTTTACCAAAATGGTATGAAAAATGTTAGGACTATATTCCAGCCCACGTAAAGTTCAAAATATGCTTAATACATCAGACATTTCAAACCTGTATCACCACAAAATGGCAAAGATCTCTGCAAACATACCTGTCTTGATAATATTATATCAATGAAATAATGTTCAGCACATTCAGGTGTCATATTTTGTTCGTTTATCGGTGATAACTTTGTTGCATCATGTCTGAACAAATACAATATGGGAGATAAAAAGTTGCCTTGGAGTAGTCAACTAAAACAACACAATTGACTATTGGATAATCAAATGAAGGCATAAATCATAATATCTTTTCCAGTATGAGAATCGCCAAATTGATATTTGAGAAATCCCTGCAATTTCTGTTCTAAAAACACAGTGTTTCCCAACCCGGGTCCGCGGTCTCAAATGAGTCCGCTGAACGTTTGAATGAGTCCGCAACGAGCCAGAAATTCACTGCGGACCGCAGAGGTTTTTGCGAAATTTAACTATCAGCCAAGTCACGATTTATGATAGAATTTACATAAAACATAAAAAGTAAGTTTATTCACATAACATTAATGTAAATAAAATGTAAAAAAATCAATAAATGTACCAATTTCAATTATCTCCACTTAGTTCAAATTAGGAAATACATCAACACTCAACAACAATGATTCATAATTGATCTGAGATAAGGATGAGGAGATTTCTGAGAGATAGCATGAAAAATATACATTCTACAATAAAATGGCAAACCTTGTAACTTCTGTTGTGGCAGGATGACTGAGTGAAGATTGTAACTGACGTCGGCGTTGGTATGAGTTCAACGGATAATGAGGTACATAAGGATGATAAGACGATGAATGATCCGTGGTTTGTGATGTTGTGCTTGTTTTTTGTGGATAAAGTTCATAATAATTGCTGTAAGTTCGACCATGTCTTGTTACAGTGTCTTTAGGCTTGGAAGTAGTTTCTCGTTCCGTGTCCCTGGAAATCATATAAGAACATTTTTAGAGCTGCTTCGAAGCCGGAAGCAATATTGATAAAATGATAGTTTCTCAATTACGAAACTGAACAAATGAAATTGAATCTTAAATTTGAGACAGTTTTTAATAGTTCATTTCATTCAGTACAAAGCCATTTACAAAAATAAATCATTGCCTAGCATACTTCATTTGGGCGCTCCAGAAGTGTGTGTACCAATATGGGGGTAACTAATTTTGTTTGCCTACTCTACATCAAGTTGTGTAAAGAGATTGAAACCTATGGGCAGGGTGTATATTCAATTGCCTGACATAAACAGTCCTCGAACTTGTTATAGAACCCTAACCTGGTAGTAGTACACATACTACGGTTGTACCCTTCGTTTGAATTATAGAAATTATCTCAGGCCTGCAAATTTGAATTGATCAATCAGGTGTGTTTCTGTGTGTCATAGCTTCTAAAATTATGTTCCAATATAAAATACCCAAATCCAGTATCATCCATAGCATGATGAGGCGAAGGTGCAACAGCGGGATATATATTTGTGTTCAGTAATACTGGATGTCTTTGTGGAGTCGTATTGATGTCACCATCACCTGAATAAAAAATTGAAGTTTGCAAAAATAAACATTTAGTCACTTTCATTAAAGAAGGGTGGATTGTTAATCTTCTTCATAGGGAGTTCGATGTAAATATAAGAAATACTATTAAAAAAACAACAAGCCCTCCAAGCTGAACTTCCATCAATGTTTCTTCACTAATTATGTTCTATACTCACCTATAGCTCTCAAGAATCTTATAATATCAGCAGACAGAGACCACATGCTTGCACTGAGAGCTTTAGTCAATAATCGATTGGCATCTTGGCGAGCTAATGAAAGTTTTTCCAGGTTTTGTAATATAATTAGATATGATGCTGCTGTTTCCAACTGATCAGATTCTAAACAATCCTGTACAAATAAAAATGAATTCTTTTTAGTGAGAAGATAAATTCTCGTTCAGAATACCTACATGGACATTTCAAATTATTCTGATATAATTTTGAAATTTTGATGATGTCGCAATAGGTACTACAATATACCACATATAAAATGGCAATTTCAAAAATTAAAAAACAAAGATAAACTCAATTATAAAAGCACATAATCACATATCCAAGCTACAAAAGATTGAATCTTATTCCATCCAGAACTCAATTACACAACTCAATTATAAACTCAAATTATAAAAGCACATAATCACATATCCAAGCTACAAAAGATTGAATCTTATTCCATCCAGAACTCAATTACACATATTAAATGCTACAGACACTAATGATAGTTAAAAGCCAAAGCCCCAAATAGCTAATCCCCAGGAGGATTTATTCTCAAAATTAAGAGTGACATATTCATTGCTGGGTGAATTTATGTTCCATACGTTGTGGCTGGAAACATCTTGAATGTATGATATTACCTCAAACAGTTCTTTCGGATTTCCGACAGAATTGAATAAATATTGCCACAAAGCGATTTCTGTTTTTCTTGCACAATGTACGATAGTTTCATGATATTCAGGAAATTCCGCAATGAATTTAACAATAGTTGGCAACAAAGGATCAGGAATAGGTGTCGAAGATGTCGCTTCTTCTTCAAGCACCTAGGTAACGGTAACAATATAGAATGTTGAAATGCAGGGAAAAAAATCTACCTAGGAATTAATAAATACAATATTGTATATAATGGTGATATACATTTAAACATGACAAAGCCAGACATTTAATTCAAATTGATAAAAATATGTCTGAGATGCAAACAGTTATATTGATTAATATTAAATCACAATAAGTACCACTTAGTATTTGCTAGGGTGAGTTTGCTCAAAAAAGGAATTGCTCCACACTGACATACTTTCAAAGAGTCAAACTAGCGATAAAAGACTGAATGGTACGCAGTATCAGGTCATTCGGGTGAATAAAATATCACTACAATTACTTTTTTTATTTGTTATTTCTTATAAAAATTTGCTTACGTCACATTAGAGTGAAAAACCCAACTCATAATTTTGTGACTACTGACCCAAAATGAGGTCGCAGATACTTATTATGCATTACCTTGTAGGCTTGCACGTAATTGACAATAACCAATTCCGTAAGTACGGCCAAATCGATTACGTAATGACCCCGTAATTGCGATATTTTTCACACATTTAAACCTTTCACAAAAACCTATTGAATCCACTTCTTTTCCGAATGCGACATCGAAGTTTGATTTTCATAATCCTGGCAGTATTACATGCCGGCGACAGATGTTAAAAACAACTATCAGGGAGTGAATTAAAATTAATTTTATTCTGATTTTTATCTTTAGTGTTAGCTTTGATTTTCCTTTGTCACCTTTTTTACATTATTCGACTTTACTACCTCGTTAGCATTTTATAATAATTATTGATGTCGACTTATTGACGATATTCCGATCACCATCCTTAATTTGACATTAAATCATTTCGCGGCCTAAATGTTATACCATTATTTGCGCATAATTTAGATGCCGTACTTATATGACATTCCTTCTCCGAAAATACAAAGTTATATCGCAAAACAATGCATTTTGTGACATTTATTTTGCACTCACAAAAAAATTAACTTATTTTTCTAACTAAATTCGACGATCCTATCAGCCAAGATTCACACAAGTTTGGTCGAGTGCCTGTGATATTCGAGTCGACGATAAAATCAAAAAAAGGTTGCCGCGTTTGGTAAAGACAGTTGGTCGAAATCATATACTGGCTCATACTTGATTATATTTGATAGTAGTTAAATTGAAAATATTGAACTGTTAAAGACAAAAAGACGATCGTGAAATTCTTACATCTCGTTCCCTTGGTGAAATATAATTTCCAATTAAATCTGTACAAAGATAGCTATACATTTAGGCTACAATTTAGCTTTTTTTTAATTTTAATCATGCATTGTGGTGGGGAATTTCCACTATTGAAATATGTGTAACTATAAAAATAGAATAGGTTTCTAGATTCGATTTAAGTATTCTAGAACGGTGGTTCCCAACCGCCAGTCTGCGGGATTTTTACCGGTCCGCGGGAAATCTCGTCGTTTTGTTGTTTCTCTGTCGTCTCAATCGCTTTACCGATGCCGAAAAGACGAAGTTGCGTTGGTTCATTACGCAATTTCTCTTCCGTCGTCATATTGCTGTTTGATGAGCGCGACATTAATTATCACGGTGACGTATTGGCAAGAGAGAGAAAAGTGAGAAAAACGGCTGCAAATAGCTTCGGTACTTCCACTTTTTACAATCGACGGAATTGACTGCTTTGAAGAGAGCTCGTTTCAAGAGAGCGCGAAAGCGCTCGACCAATAATTATGACTTTACGTAATTCGTAACTTCCCTTCCGTAACTCGAGATAATTATGTAATTCTGTGAATCCGTTAATTACGTACAAGCCTATTACCTTGTGTAACATCAGTTCAAGAACATGAGGAAAATATGATAAAGATCTGCATGATGATGCAATTTGTAAAGCATGATATCCAAGATTACGACGAAGCAATTGACGCAATATCTGAAAATACATAAAAAAAACATATTTGGTTTATTTACCTTTATTAAAAGATATGAACAGTTGCAGGAAGGTATTCGATTTCCTCTTTATCATACAAAATTTTTTTTTATTTGTCATAGCATGACTGGGAATTATTTAAAGCAGCACAAAGAGATATCACAATGCTGTTTATCATTGAGTATTCCAAACTACAATAAGTTTCAATACCTGATGAAGATATATTTCACAAGTTCTTTCAAGAGTTGAAAAATGGAATGAATATAGAGAATCATTCTCGTCCTCATCTGTTTGTCGTTTATGATGAGACTATAAATAGGTTACAGTTACATTGAAAATCAAATACAAATCAAAAAACATCAGATTTCAATTAGGAAAACATTTTTGTTCATAAGATAAACAGGAACCAAAAAAGCATCAAGACTAACAGCAAATTTCCAAATTGAAATTATGATTACGGTAAATAAAAAAAATATTTTTGGAACAATGCGATTCAATCAATGTTTCATATATTTGATACATAGAGACAGCTAATGCAGTTGATGATGACAAAACTCAGATGTACGCAAATAGTTATTTTTTTCTGATGTAAAAATTAAATACAAGGTGAGCAAAAAGGCAGAACCCATGAATTTCTTGATACTCCTCAAAAATTATGAAATTAAATACTCGAATTTCTGTTCGTGTATGATTGTACCCAAACGCTTTGCACAAAAGTTATGTTCCAAATTACCTGGTTTCTGTTTTATTGGGGCACTTTGTACTTGAGAAAAATATATAATGATAATTTTTTTAAAAAAAATCAGTCAAGATGATGACTTGAAAAAAAAAAGTTGCAATTTGATAAAAAAATGAAGGTTCAAATATAATAATAACCCTACGAATCCAATTGTTTACAATGTATTCTGTTATATTAACAGAACTTCAAAACTAACAAAACATAGAAACATATAAAAACTCACAGTTTCATTTTTCACTCCAATTACGACAGCATTTTCAAATAAAACAGCCAAAGGATAACAAGAATCCATTTCCAATGTTAATGTTATTCTTTTTGACAGTAACGCTTGCATGTCGAGTTCTCCGATATCACCTGATCTAGATCTTCTCATAGCAGGGAACAGTGGCAACCATACCCTGACTCCAGCAGATCCACAACTGAACCATACGGCATCGGTGAGGTGAACTTTCTGACTGAAATATATTGTGCATAAGACGATTTTATATTGAAAAATTTCTCCTACATATAATACTTTCAAAACTAAAATCTTAGAATAAAGTAATCTACTCAAATATTTTCTTTTAATTTATTTTTGATATTTCACTTCATGCACTGTAAAAGTAGTTACTGATACCTAAAAATGCTTATATTATTCTGCGCATATCACAAGTGAACGTGTGTAGTCAAGTATATCATGGCGGTAAAGCCCATCTCTATAGCTTTCCTTATCCCTCATCCCCAACCTTAAATAGTAAATGGGCTTATGGTTCGTTACAGTGATGCAAAGAGCAAATAATCTAGGCTCAGCGGAAAACCAGTTTCCTGAATACACAAAATTTTAGTCGCTTTCCGAGACCTGATCTTTTCAGTCCAGCAAAATCTGTCTTATGTTTACTAATTTCATGTCACCTACATACTTGTCAAGTACATACTTGTTCTTATATTCAGAAGCCCAAATATTTTCTACAGATGAGGCAAGTACAATAGGAGGTTGAAAAGTCATTTCTTGTTTTCCGGTTGATTTAGATTTGATTGACCCCTCATCTTGAGAATGTTGAAGTAACAGCAGACGACCTTATATAAAATCAATGATATAATGTTGAAAAGCATTGCCACGTTGCAAAGAAAATTTAAAAAGAGCTTCAATTTAGAATAATTTTGTAATGTACTTCAGTGTTACAATTTGGCTGTAAGCTCAGGTCATTGTACGCTGCAATTTAAAGCGTGTATGTGAACAAAAATGCAATTTCTCTAGAAATCCATTCACAAAAAGTGCACTTGCTTCCACTAGGTACTTTGAAATGCGAAATTTCTGATAATAGAACAGTAATATTATACAACATATATAAAAGTCTTGCAATAACAGCAGAATGAAAAAAATACATACAGAACATGATACTCATAAACCGAAGACTTGGATATACATTCAAAATACACGAAATATAGAATTCGCCCAACATACCAGCAACATTAATGATTAAAACTTCAGTTTCTTGTTGACTGTTTACAGAATGCTGTTGTTGTTTTCGACCAGAACTTTCCATATGAAGTGATGCCATCATTACCGATACAACAAGTGATGGATAAGGAACATATCTTTGCATTGATATTTCTTTCAGAAGAGTCAGAGACGCACTGGAATATTCCCTAAAAAAGAAAAGACGGTTGAATATAAAACTGGCAAACCATGGCCTCTTGTCTGATTCCAAGTCCGTTATGAGTATGGTTGAGCAGTAACTCGTTTCATTGGCATAGGCTTGACAATGGGGAGATTGTAAATGACCAGCTATTGCATGAACTACCGTACTCCACAAGAAGTCCAGCGAATCTCTTACACCTAATTTCCTATCTTATGGGACTTAAACCTAATAAGAATCATGACCGCAAGAGTGTGACTCATAATAACACAATAGCATGATGGGCTGGGGTAATCCGCTGTCATGTGTAAGCTTATTTGTACCAAATAAACAGCATGGTGGAGATACAGTACAGTGCATACAGTAACAACTATGTACCATGCTGGAAACAATTAAAAACAAATTGCCTTTGACAATGAAGGTTTGAAAAACTGTGGGTCTGTGATGACTGCACAGGGGTCGGTCCCCCATGATATTAAAAGGAATATGGAAGAGTCTGAGTTTGCTTGTCACAAATTTCGCTGAGAATTGATATATTATGAATGAAATGAAACATTATCATTCCTCATTGGTTAAGAACATAAATTGATACGGCATAGGATGGGATTCTCAAACAAGGGATCGCGGCCCAAAAAGTTTGCAGAACCCTTCTCTAAAGTATTAGATGTCGTTCGACAGTCAATCATTACAGTTGGACAAATTATTGTCAGTATTAACAAAAATGGATTCTTACACTTTATCTTCTTTTTTAATGTTGTATATTTTTATATGGTACGTTGAATCGAATATTATCACCATATCAAGGTAGACATTTATCACCAGTACCTGAATTAGGATAAAAAAACTAAAATAATGAATAAATTCGCAGTTCTGTCAATATGCCAGGGCAAAAAATCATAACTCATAATGCAGGTTACAATATGCATTCTAGTTAAGTAGTTCTCCGTTACCAGTCCTCAAAGCAAATTTCATGATTATCTATGATTTATTATTTGACAACTTCAAAGTAACTTAATTACTGATGTTTGATTAATATAAAAAGAATAAAATAACCTGCCATATTGAATTTGGTGTTCAAGTGAAAAAGGAAAGTCAAAATACATACTTGAGAATTAACACGTTTAACATATGAAAATACATTATCCAGGTTGGTATTATGAGGATATATTCTTATTTCATCCTGAGTTTCAACTAAATTGTAACAAGCAACAATGATCAGTCCATCCCACCATGTTAAACCACCTGAAAATGTAAAAGTACTAATGTAAAATCTATTTCCATGCCAACAACATAACAAGCCATTTAAGGAACCGTAAACATATTTGTAGAAACAGAATTTTGTAACATTGTAATATTTTTAAAATGAACTCAAAGCAGTTCATCTGTTTTTCTATTTCATTCACAAATTGCTGGAACATGAATATAGAGAAAATAAAGATGACTGTTAAGTACTTGTCGAATGCAATTGTACTGGCAATTACAAATCAATGCTGATGTTATAATAATGAAAGAAATGGTATTTTGTGCAATCATATAAGAGGGGACATAATAAAATGGTAAATGAATTTGATAAAAGATACGAAATTATGTATTATCTCGATTTTGCAGAAGGAAATAGTTTTTAGCCATTTGATCAAACACAAGAAATATGAAAGTGGATTGCAATAGTTAGGCGTGAGAAAAAATGTTTGAAACCACAGACGGCAGCTTTTTTCAAAATTGATTCAAAATTGGAAATAGGCAAATTTTGAAATATACCATGTCCTACTCAACCAAATACTCACTTGATCACAGAATATAAAACTCTCAATGGCAATAGTTTTTCATTTTTTTAATAAATTGTTTAAATTTACCTGTAACAACCATATCTTTTTCCTGCATAATATTTCCGAATAACTTCCATTTTCTAGTGATGAGTGAGTAATGGGCAATACCAAAATTTCCTGCAATAGCTAATAATTTGCCAGTTTTGTCAATTGAAGAAAACTGCAAATGAATAAAAAATAAATGTTTTGTAAATGACTTAGTATTCACGCAAAAGAGATACTACGCATTTGTTTAAACCGGTAAGTGTATGAACCTTAAGGTAGCGGTATGAGATCAGTTGGGCAGTGCGACTTATAACGAAAAATAGTAAACCGGTCGTTTCAAGGAGTGGAATTTTAAAAATAACGTTTTATACCATAGTTATTTTTGTTAGTAATTGGATTTAAAGTGACAACATCATTTATTGTTGTTGAACCAGAACCTGTGTCTACACTCAACATTATTTAGTTTCATTGAGGTGTATCAATTTGAGATCTCTGTGCCATTTAGATATGTTAATTCCCTTCCCTTACAGCTGCATTTTATTTTAACTGTTATTTTTTTTTTTAATTTGCCCTGATAACTCTGATGAACACATGGATCCAGATAATACTTTTAATTTCATTTTCATGAATGACTTATATATAAGCTCAACGTTTCTACATCATGTTGAATTAATTTTGCCATTACACAGAAGTTACACTGCACGGGTTTGCAAAATTGAAGTATGTAGGCGAAAATTATGAGTAAGAAGATTGTTGGATTCTTTACTATTGCAGGGTGGTTCATGTACCCGCCGAAGAATTATAGCTCAAAAGATAAATTTATTATTCCTATATCTAACTTAGACTGACAAGTGACAAGCTAAAAAAGATCCAGAGACCATGGCTGGCCATATGATTAAACTGTCGTATTGATTCTCCTCAACCTTGGAACGAGAATATCGGTCAGAGACCGAAGATTTATCGATCGAAAGTTAGGGGATCCCCCAAAACAGAAACTGCGGTTTCGATTCGAAAAATTCTGCAAACCCGAACTGGATTGTTTTGATTAGTTTTCAGCCAATATCAAAAATGTCGAAAACAATAGCCAACTCCCCATGTCGTTGTCGAAATACTACTCGAGGAAATACTTTCATGAAGAATTCTGCAAATCCGAACTGGATTGTTTCGATTAGTTTCCAGCCAATAGCCTATTTACCAATCCTATAGTTTGTGTCAAATACAACGGCGCTAACCCAGGTTGCGACGGCTATTCTAACACAGCCTAGCGATATTTTGGTGAGGAATTCTGCAACCCCGAACCTGATTGAGGGATATGGAATGGACATTGCTTAAACTTTAAGGAGTAATTATAAGTAACAAGATACGATCTCGCGGCGTGTATCCTTCGCTCTTGACTCAATAGCGTGGAAAATTTCTCGAAGGAAACTTGCGCATCGCAACGTCAAAGTTACAAGAGAGATATGGACAATGCTCAAAGATTAATCACGAGATACGATCTAGCGGTGTGTATCCTTCGCTCTGAATCACTAGCGTGAAAACTTGCGCATCTGATACGCACACACACATTCAGCGTGTCTCGAAAATCTCTCGCTGTGTAAAAATCCAGATCTCTTCATCACTAATTAATTAATAACTCGCTAATTATACAATATAATTCATCCAAAATCAATAGGCTTCTGATCCGAGATATGATGAATGCACATGCAACATTTGGAGCAGATTCAATCACGCCTTGGTGAGATATCGCGTGCATCTAACAGACATACAGACAAATACCTATCAACATACTTATCGATTAAAATCGATAAGTAATGAAACATTTAGTATCATATCCAAACTTCTCAACTACTTTTGCATTCAAACAAAGATGCAAGAGTAAGTCGTTCTTTATGAGAGCTCTCAGAATACATACTAATTTCTCGTAATACCTAGAGTAATCGTAAATGAATGGCCTGACATTTGCTCATGTAATAGGTATGACAATACAACACACACCATAACGATGAGATCAAATTTAAAAGTAAGAGCGTTGTGGTGGAGCTATTGGTCTCTGTGGATTCACTGAGACCAGTCAAAAACATGTTTGGCTTTTTTAGCTCAACTCAAGACCACCTGGTATTAAAATGAATAAACTTACCCTAATTGGCCAATTCCCATTTAAATAATTAATAGGCAGCTGTATGACCGTCCATTGCTTGTTACCAACAACTTTTTCAAAATTTCTTCCAGTGGAATTTGGTCTTAAATATGTTCTTGATATATATTTCTTTTTCTTTTCATCATAAGTAACTCCAGACAAAAGATTTGAATATCTGTTTTCTCCAAAACTAACAAACATTCTATCTTCAGATTGTAATATTACATGTGACTGATTGCCCTAAAAATCAACAGAAATGAAAAAATGTATTATTGGATTTTGGGTTTTTATCCATACATTAGGCACACCAGCTTATAAGACGCATGATCGATTTTTAAGAAAAAAAAATATTTGAAAGTGTGCCTTGTGGTTTGTAAAATATGGTATGTAGTTATGTATGCAAGCATGTTTATTTATCTTGTATATGAATATATATTAACAATTAAGAAATTCAATTCAGAGACAGTATGCGTATAGAAGACTAGGTCGGCCTATGTGCAACATACTCCCCTTGCTTTTAAGAACATGACCAATTAGTAAACGAGAATATCGGTCGGAAACCAAAAAACTTCAATCGAATGTTATTGGATCCCCCAAAACAGCGCTCTTTCTCCATAGTGACACAGTGTGTCACATCACTAATTAATTAATAACTCGCTAATTATACGACAGAATTCATCGAGAATCAATAGGGTTCTGATCCGAGCTATGATGAATGCACATGCAAAATTTGGAGCAGATTCAACCTCGCTTTCGTGAGATATCGCGTGCATCTAACAGACAGACAGACAAACAGACAAATACCTATCAACATACTTACCGATTAAAATCGATAAGTAATGAGCAATAGGTATTTATTTACATATGGATTTTTTGATAGGGGTTAAATCTGGATTGAAAGGTAAATTATCACATGTGGAAGACCGCCAGATCATGTAACTTTATAACACCAATAGAAAACCTAACGCAATAGCTGTAGGTTTACAATCATCGCATAACTATAAGCAAATTTGTGAGAAGTATCAGTAATATTTCAATATGCTATCTCAAAATGAAATGCAAAAATAATTACTTACAGAGCATGGATTCATGGTGAGTGCACTTTTGGCAAACTGGAATTGGATAAACTCTTTTTCACACAAGGTTTCAGGACGAGGTTTTAAATAGAGTCTTTTTTCAGTGGCAATTCCTCCATCGTCACTGGAGGAAGAGATATTACTTTGTACATTTAGATTTGAATTTCCACTTTCATTGATTGGTGATTGATTGGCATTTGCATTTTCCACTTTTATATTTTCTTGAATCATCCATAATTGATATCCTTCAGCACCCCAACACTGAAACAAATTTGTTCAAATAAGCTGCAGCGGCGCTCCAGAAGTGTGTCTACCAATATGGAGGTAACTAATTTTGTTGGCCTACTTTACATCAAGTTGTGCAAAGGGAGTATTTTAGGAGGTATATTCAGACACAGACAGTCCCTGAACTCGTAATAGAACTGAAATAAGGAAAATCGGAATAAAATTATGGCCTAACCCTAACCTGGTACGGACACTACGGGAGTACTGCGGCTTGTACATTCAACGGCCTAAGAGAATGTTTCCTATATAAAATGATATCCAATTCTGGCGTCAAAACAGCTACTCATGTTAATGTTCCAAATGCATAAGCTTGGTCAGTGGACTTTCATCTTGATTGGTGCAATGAGACAATTGCTGACTCAATGCAGCGCTTCATAAAACACTAATTAATTTAGAACAAGGAAATATACCACAGAATAAAACAATGATTGTTGTTTACGAGCACCATCAACTGTGAACGCATGATCTGCGCTTAATGTGCAAACAAGGCAAGCACCATATACACTCCATATTGAAAATCCACCAAGTTTCCATGACAATGCCAGAGCACATCCATCTGGTGTCCATTGCATATCCGTGACTGTACCTAACAGTAGTAAACATATAAAATATTATATCATGAACTTGACTGAACGTCAATAAAAAATGTACTGCACAAAAAATACAAGATACCTGTGTTTTTATATACTGATGGATAAAACTTCGGTGATAAAGCCATTTGATGAGAAAACTGTAAAGAACCCAAAACATCATCCATACTGTATACTTCACAACTTCCTCTGTAGACAAGATGCATATATTTATGCTTTATATACGAAACCAATATTTTTTGCAACGAAATTGTGATGGGAGGCAAATACGAAACAAAAAGTGGAACAAAAAGCTATAGAATTTGTGAAAGAATCTCTGAATCGGAACAACTTACGACAACTGTTGTCCATATATGTATGAATATAGTGTAGTCAAGCGTATATTTGTAGAAAATGTGAAAGGCCAATATTATTACACACTACTATAACTAGCCTGACTACCTCAATATTACATACACAAAAACAAATTGTCCTTCTTATCGGCTCGGTGGTCTAACTCATCATGCTAAACGTTAGAAATACGCTCGCCACCATACTCCTGATTGTCCTGCTTGGGTTCGCAGGTTTGAATCCCATGCGAGGATAGTAATGTGTGAGTGGATCGCTCTGATTGTCCTGCGTGGGTTCGCAGGTTCGAATCCCATGCGAGGATAGTTATGTGTGAGTCGATCGCTGGACTCCTCGCCGCCACAGGGTGGTTCACGTAACCGCTGGTCGGTTACAGCTTCCTCCACCATCATACCATACCCATCATGAACTGGTAACAGGACGAGAGGTCGTGGTTCGTCATATGATTAAGCATCTATAGGCTTTCCTCTACCTCAGGTTGAATATAAAACCTCTCCTTATCCAATATATCATACTCACTTTGTGGTACCAAACGCCATCAGTCTGTATCTGTTGTTTACAGCACAGCAAACAGCTTTAGTTAATCCATTAGCCCAAATACCATGAGCTTTCCAATCTGATGATTGACTTTTTTCATCCGAAGGAGATTTTGTGATAAATAACAATGCAGCTCGACCATCACTCAAAACTGCAGTGAAACCCTCCAAACAAGGGCTGTAAGTTAGCTGCATGATGTGAATTGGATATTTGCTGCGAATCATTGATCCTGAATTAAATAAATAAATGTAATTTGAAAGTTAAGCAATCAAGGAATAATGAAGTCACTATAAGACTAATTCTAATTTTAATGCAAAATTGGAATATGATTCCAAATTTATAATAATTCCATCAAACATTGTTTCGCAAGAGGATGAACAGCTCATGGACAGTAGGAAGATAAGCTACTTAAATTGCCACCATTATTTAGTATTCTGTGAGTAAGGAAAGAAATTTCAAAATATTGATAAAGATATTCAAAATACAGAATATCCTATAAAATATGCTACTGCAGCCGTATATCATAAATCCCTGGAATACTTCATATAATTGAACAATTTGGAACACTTAATATCAGAATAATCTGCAGGCAGGAATTTAAGAGCAGGTGGCGTCACCTCAGTAAAATCTCAGCCAGATAAAGTTGACAAGATGGTATATTTCTATCTAAATGAAATAGATTTTTCATTCAATTGTTCTCCATGATATTCCCAGACTGACACAGCCAAGTGTAGAGATAGTTATATTGTTCCAATCACCATTTAAATATACTTCACAGAAGAATTATCCGATACAATTTGACATTACAGGCAAGTGTTACGAAATTAGAATTCAATTTAAGCAATTTTACCTGCACTATGTAAGTCTACAGCAAATGTCATATCTTGTACATTTAGAAGCTTTCTGGTATTCATTGGTCCATACCATGGTATAAGTTCAACTTCTCCTTTACTTGTGGCAATGAGTAATTCATCACTGACACATGACAAACTAAAAAATAATCAATGATCTGAATGAGAGTCCAGAGTTTTTTTAAGGCTTTATAATATAAAATAACTTATCGATAGTGTAGCACCGGAAGACGGGTCATGAGTTAAATACATTAAGAGTTGCAATTGAAAATTCAATATATGACAATACGACAAAAGAATAATGTTCGAATTTCTTCACATCTTTAACAAAGAAGAATTTATGATTATTGTTCATGTTCTGGAATAAAAATTACTAGAGAATATTTTCCAAATAATATCCATCATCGGTTTTGTAGAATTAGTATCTTTTTAGTAACAGAATACTGGATTCAGGTCAGCAATCATATCTATGCCGGACCAAAGGCTTGTTTGTAAGTAAATGAGATTGGGCATAAATCCATGTCATGGTAAATACTGAAAACAAGGTGACGCTCAGTATGAAGTGCTCTGATAACTGGATTCAAAATATACTCCAAACTTCAAATCCAAAAAAAATTTAGTCTAGCTAAGTTCAGGTCAAACATGCTCAAATACATGCAGAAAAGTCTTTAAAATCCAGTCGTAAAAATGCTCGGTGGTCTGCAATTATCTTTTTGACCAAATTATACTACAAACTATTATTCCTTTGCTCTTTTACAAAAGGACCATTTAAACGTAGAAATTCATATTGTTCAATATTAAAATGCTGTCTTCTAATCGGTGTTATACAAATATTCAAAATATACTACCTTAAAATTGGTGACCCATACTCTATTGTGGTTTTTAAACAAAGTCGTAAAGCAGGAACGCCATCACTGTTTTCCCCTTGTGGAGATTTGATCTGATTATACTCAAACAAATTCATTCCTTTCTCTGATTTCACATCTTGTTCCAATTGATAAATTAGAAGATAACCACCTGTCGTCTGAAATAAAAAATATTTGTCAAATAAAACAGCATTAATACACTCCACTGCTAGATTGATGATAATGCATTTTGCAATTCTACTGCGAAAAGTGACAGACACTTTCTAAGCTTTCAACGAAAACTGCACAAAAGTGGGCCACTTATTAAGAGTGGCCACACAAATGGGCAGGTATGCAGACATCCAGACACATTGTACACACATGGGTTTAGAAATAAAACAAACCATGATGTCAATGTGCCCACTTAATTGGGAAAAACATTATGTTACTATCCAGTTACAGCACTACCACCAAAAAAGCATCGACCCACATAAATGTAAAAAAAATATTTTTCTGAAAAATTATATAAATACACAAAATTTTTAATATATTGGACATTGGTGATGAAATGCAAATACTGTATATCATTATGACTAGTATAACCTGAGGTACAGATAATCAAAGAAAATTAGTGGATGGTATTAAATATTGCTATATCAAAAAATACACTAAAACAACATACTCCGACAGCCAGCATACTGCTGTCGTGTCTCCATTCAGCAATAGTATTGAATCCAGTTGCAGTAACTGAGGACTGAGATCTTTGATAACATACGATTTCCACACAAGGCTGAAAATAATTGGCAATGTTCAATGATAAGTAAATGACAAGTTGCAGATTATGAACTATAGTATCTATAAATAAATTAAATGTTTGTACAAAGCCATAAAACAATATATATTCAAAGATGTATCAAATCAGGAACTGACTATATCAGAACAAACTATACTGAACTTAATATATGATGTGTTCAAATGGTTCAGGACAAGGTGTGATGCAGACGACCCGCAACCCAAGCCCGCCAAACCATTTAGTGCACCCCTCGTCCACCATCAGATTTTTCCCCATCAAGCATAAAATCCTAATTCAACAGTTTGTTTAAAAAGGTGCTCACATGGATAAAAATACATAAAGTTTTTTGCCTGTCGTTTTGCCCAGTTTCTTTACTACTGTAGGGCTAATCGATAGCTTTCTTTTCCATTGGTAAAATTTTTTAATTTGTTGTGGACTTGAAAAATTTTTTTGCGCGGCATAGCTAGATTTGAAGTTAGCTTTATGGAGGAGTGACAAAAAATGTTGCACACCCCTGGTTTACGACATCATTGTTAATAATTCCTAATTTCTCATCTGAGAATCCCTAGTTTCAGCTGATTTCTTTCACCTAGGATTAGAAGCTTTTAAATACTTACTCTGCAGTGCCATATGCTGATAGTATCATCCGTCAGCACTGCAAATAGCATCCGATATCTATTGCAGGAAACAAATTTCAACTGAGATTTTCCATTGGTCAGTAAAAGAGTCCGAGGCCATCCAAGGGAAAAATACATTTCACTTGTCTACACCAGTACAGATTTCAGTCTGATGATGTTCGTAATTGAGCACTTCAATGAGCAGTATTTTGTGTTTTACACAACTCCGAATTGAAAGAAGAAAATAGAACTTGGAAATATTGTCATGATCCAGTGATGAGCATGTACCAATAATGCAGTATGGCCTAATTTATTTGTGTTACCATCGAATCAATGACTTCACTTGTTAAGGTGTTACAGTATTAGCTTTGATCTTCCATTTTTTTCTATCTACAGATCTAATGGCAAGATGGGTGTTTCCACATATGAAAGTAAAAATGACCTGAAAACATAACATAAGTTTAATAACCCGAATGAATCAGTCATATAGAATTAGTATTTTTTACCAGAGCCTAGATTTTTCTATATGCCTTAACACTGTCTGACTGTAGAAAAATATCACAAATGTGACTGTATAAAGGTATGTGTAGCGCGACTGGCAGGCTATATAAGCAGAAATGCAGAATGGAGTAGACCTACAGAAAGACAGACATATGCTACATGCCTGATCAAACCAAAGGACGACGGCTACGCAATCAAATGCAGCAATAGCTCTGAACTTTCTATTAGTTCCTGAACTCTCCCATCCACAGATCCAGAAGAACAGGTTGAACGAATCACAGCAGTGCGAATAGAGTGCCTCTCCGTTATACTGTCTGACCAATGACATTGGTCTGACTGTTATAACTGGTACCGGTAACTTCCGTAAAATCTTATTTTCCGACGACTTTTCAAAGACTGTAAACCTAGTAGAGCTTTTTCACGAAGATCCGCCTGAGCACTTTACAAGTTACATACTACTTCAGTACTTGCACACAGTTTCATATGGCATGATGACGCGCAGATGAAATGGGCCTATGAATTGTTTCGCTTGCTTATCGCGACCTTACTGGTAATGTATGTAGATATTGTTTTTTTGGTTTGACGAAATGAAATAAACTCTCTCTGTCTGAACAGTGCAAGCTTTGGTACCGATGTATATTGCTGTGGTCATGAACCGAAATCATCTGTTTATTTGATATTTATATATGTATGTAGGCTATATTTTTTTTTCTGGTTTGACGAAATGAAATAAACTCTCTCTGAACAGTACAAGCTTTGGTACCGATGTATATTGCTGTGGCGGTGGGAATTGATTTACAATTTGACACTTTCGAATGATCTGATAACGGATTTTAAAGAAAGTCGTATTTTATAGACCACCCGTACTTCTGGTAATCATTGGACCTTACTGTTCATATATCTCAGCATGGATCTTCTTTTTTTATTTAATAAAAATAATGATGGAAAGCACAATGTACTTGCATCAAGTTTATACAACGACGCTCGTTTTTCATGCTCTCGTCCCGAACAAAACCGTGGACAAGCAGACACTGCAAGATATCATACGTTTTGAAAGAAAACGAAGGTTTCGAGTTCGGCCCTGCCCATTATCATACCCTGGGCGATAATGTAATTTAAATTGTGATTTAATATAAATTTGTGTAACCCGCAATACATTTACCACTATGCCCCCGTAACCGCGTTTATAGAAAAAAAATTGCACGTATCAGATTTAGCAATGTTCTGATTTTTTTGTTTAGCATTTTGAATACTAAACTTCGCCGTAATATTTCAAACATCGACTCTGATATGTTTTATGACTGTTATTACGAAACTCTTTCCTATACTATAAAAATGTACTAACCAATATACAATATACTGTCAATCATTTCACTTACCTAATTTGAATGCATCTATCCCAAATAAACATATTTAGTATTGGGCCAAAAGAGTCGCAAGTTTATATCGACACCAAGATCTTACAATCAGCTACCAGAAATTGCAAGCTACATCAGTAATCAGCAAACAAGTAATTTCTGATTATGTACTTGGCGGAAATTTAGTAGAATATTTTAAGACGTTATATTAATTAATATTTCTCTCAATTATTGTTAGTTCGATGGATCTAGATGGAAAAGGGCTATTACGTTTTCATGTTAAGCTTGTGCTTCAGCAATACTTTCTATTCCATCTCGTTGAAAATCTGTTTTGTAGATTCGGAGCCGTTTTAGATCATATATTGTTTGATAAATTTCATCCGTAAAAGTTTTTGCTTGTTTTGCAATTTCCCAAGACATAATTGATGGAGAATTCTAAGTGACTCTGCGTGTTTTCTCTGCGATTTACACAATGATTGATGCTGATTAAATAAATGATTTTTGTGAATGTTAAAATTTTTTCCTCCACGCATCCATGAAAGAAAGATATATTTCGTCGTCTTTTTTCCGATATATTTGTATTACATATAGCACAAATGCAGCATTTATTCTCACTCACCATTCGGCGAAAAATTATATGTAATGTTGGATTTATAGAACTTTTTTTGTGTATGACATGGAAACCTAAATCCCGTAGCCGGCCTACAAAATTAATTTTTTGATATTGGTATAGGTATAATAGTTGGAAAGCGTAACCTCGGTAAATTTTCATTGTCTTTTCCCAAATACTTTTTACCCGCCAAATTCATAAACAAATAATAGTAAGAAATGAACAATTACCTGGAAATCGGTTAGGCCGCGAGACGAGGCCGTTTATCTTTCAGTTTCGTAGCGCACATAAGGGAACTACCTGAAAATGATTTTAAAATGTTCCTTAGAAATTTAGTAACAAATAATGAATTGTTCCCATTTCCACAGGTTGCACGTTTTACGGAAAAGACGCTTTTACTACAAAAAAATATGCGCTACGATCTGTCCTATATCCTCTGCTTTTCCGGTATCATGGGCCAATAAACGCTTTCTGCATGATGTAACAATCAAAATTGGCCAGCTGTAGGTGGATCCCCTGTGGTCGGATGAATATCAGATGTACTGCTCGCTTTTGCGTTGAGTTGAGTAGCCTTTCCATACGGTAGTTTTTTCAGGTATTATTAGGCTAGTTGATTTCTTCTAAGAAGGTGTTAAAAAGTATGCTATTAGACATTTGTATATCTTTACCAAAGATAGCAATTTCAGTTGAGCACTAGATTCAAAAAACGGTAAATAGCTAGGGTACGGTAACTCCCAAGGTATGCTAGACCTAGAATAATATGTCACAAACAACGACTAACATACAATATTTTCATGTTTGTTAGAAAGGTTTATGATTAATTTAATGACGATTCTTGACTATTTAGCAGACTTATACTACTACATAGGCTACGACATATTTGTTTCAGAAAATAATGGCTGTTTCTGTAATGCACGTTTGTGTGAAAAAGGGGAGAATAATCAATATTACCTATATCAGTTGGTCTAAATTCATGGAGTCGACAAGAACCTGGGAAGCAATGATAAGTTATGCCGGAGTTGAAAGAAAGTAGCATTGAAGCGATTGAGAGGTAAGAAATCAAGTTGTAGACCGACAGTTGATGTTTTAAAATATAGGCCATAGGGCATTTCAGACTGTGATATATAGAGATTCAGTGTAGATATAGTCTAGTATGCAAACACTACAGGACTGTAGTACATCAGATAAAATGCATTATGTATGAGAAGTATTAGTCAGTATTTAGGGGTATTTTTACACTCATGCTGTTCCAAATATGATTTTCTCCCGCATTTTAGATACTGTACTACAAAAGAAAACGGCAATGTTCCACAAATTCAACCTAACGCAGGCTTTAATCCCCGCTGCTCTATACCTGTAAAAATAAAATGGATCGAACAAGAAGTCTTGAAGAAAAGCGTAAAGGTATATGAGAACATAACAGTTGCAAACAGCTTAGATGGGCTATTAATATTGAAATACTTTGGCATTCTTCTGCACTTGAAACTGCCCATCAAACTGATGTTGGAGGACTCGAAATTCGTTGAGTTTTTTCGCAACTATAAAGATATTTTGAGGTTAACGAGGTCTTATTAAATAAAGCTGAGGAATTTGTTTGTTCACTGTATGAAGAGGATATGAAGAATGTAAATGATACCAGGGCACGTCTTTTCAAAACTGGCAAACATATGGATTATACTCTTCCACCCAACAATCATTCACTGAAGAAGCATGTTCTGAGTACAAATTACTAGACAAGGATTCATCCTGTTGCCTAGAACCAAGGGAAATTATTCTCCCACCTATTGGCCATGAATTCATTCTTGATGATGGTGTTTCGCGGGTTAAATTGATGGATCTACTTACAGCCCCCAAATCAGTTCTTGAGTTGGCAAACTGCAAGTGTAAGCTAAATAGGCGTCAAAATAATTTATGCATGTGTGCCAAAAACAACCTAAAGTAAATTGCACAAATTTTTGTTTTTGTATAGACGGCAAAAATCACAGTACACTTATTGAAGAAAAGTCGATTTTCGAGAATGTGGATTTCGAAGGCAATTCAGAAGAAAGTGAATTGGATATTGAAGTTGATTCAATAAATATTATTTATTAGTTTTTTTCAGACATCTGTTAGTGTCGAAAATCCTGTTTCTATAAATAATATTGCCTTTGTTTCAAATACACAACCACATAAACTGAAAAAAGTCTAATTGTAATATTTCTGTTCACTACATTATGTACATACTGTATTCATTTAATTTTCTCGACTTTTCCGGTAAATTTCTAAGTGAGAAATACCTGATTTATTTGTGTTTTTGTGCTCGCGATTGTTGATTTGTGACTTCATTGCCCAAAAATAAATACGTTTGATAGCTTCTATGAAATAAATGCAACTTCTTATTCTGTTTTTTGTTGTAAACTGCTTGTCTGAGGAAGTCTGATTTTGGTCAGACAAAACGTGACAGAAATACATTTGTGTTAGTGTGCAACAGAGCTCTTGAATTGCATAGTTCCTATGCTATGTTATTGTGAACCTATGGTTATTAATTTTTTGGAAACCCCCTTATATAGAATTTCGCATCAGGATTGTGGAACAAGCTGTAATGCAATGCGTTCAATATGTTCATTTTCATACAAAACTAAAGTATTTATTTAGTTACCAGATGTGCGCTACAAAACTTATTTGCTGGGCGTTCTTTAAAGCCTCGTCTCACGGCCTTTATCCACGGCAAGGATCTGCAAATGTTTAATAACTTACTTATACTTTTTCACACCGTCTTAGCATAACTTAACTAATAAAACTAAAAAAGACGATGGAAAGGCTACAAAATAAGATTCATCCGCCTGCGAACAGCTGATCAAATTAAATGTTACGTCATACAGAGGTCTGCGTTCATTGGCCAATGTTGCCGTAAAAGTAGAGAATATAGGGCAGATTGTAGCGCTTATTTCTTGCAGTATGAGCGTCTTTTTCGTGGAACGTGCAACTTTTAGAAATGTGAACAAGGTATTATTTGTTACTAAATTTCTAAGAGAGAGAGATTCATTGTTTTGTCAACCAGAAAACAAACAATGGTATACGAAAAAATATATACAATATTCACAAAGTTAATTCGGTATAGACTGGAGGGAGCGATACGACCATAAGGTCATCAGAGTCAGCTCCCCCCAAGTTCACGATTGCTTAAAAAAATTCAAATTTTTAAAAACCATACCTTAATTCAGGGGTGCACAACACGGGGCACGCGTGCCAAATTTGGTACGCCATACGCTCAAACGAGCACGCGAATGGTTTTGTAAAAATAAAAATTGTATTCATGATATGCATTAAAATATCACGTTTCTATCAAAATCAGCAGTTTTTCAGGACATTAAATTTTTTTAATAAATAGATATTCGTTGTTATGTATTATTATTAAAATTTGTTTGATGTGTGTTTTACGGGACCCCGACCTTTGACCCCCGAAAAAATTTTCCCATACTTTACCATTGCAAAATTTTCGGGGCTATTTTTAAGAGTGCTTTTGAGAGTTGGCGCCTGTAAAATGGAGTATGTGTTTCAAACCATCATCATGATTCATCGCATACAACAATCTGTTTTTAAAAGTACCGGTGAAGAATTTCAGGCTAGACTATCACAGCTATTTCTACACTAATTTTTATTACTGCAATTAAATTGAAACTCCTAGGATCATTGAATTATCTGATTTATATTTATGTTTCCGAAACACAACTGAAAACTAACGAATAGAGTTCAAAAACGCGAAAACGAGCTAATGTTTACAACCACGCTTGAAAATCTGTCTGAGTGAGGAAAATGTCTGAGCGGATGCGAAGAGGGGGCATTGTGACGTCACTTTTTGCATCTTGCTGATTCGCCAATGTCACGAAGTAAACAAGGAAGTCCATGCTCGGGGAAAGGGTCATACCAACGATTGTGCATGACACCCGATAAGATTATAATGAAAAATTTGGCACGTGTCCTCATTTGAGTTGTGCACCTATCTCTCTCATGTTCAATTTCTGTTCAACTAAAACTAGAATAAATCACAACCAGAACATGAGGACAAGGACTTGGCGTCTTTGAGCCTTTATAAAATACAATGTTAGGAATTTTATTTATTTATTACAATTTTATGATTTATGAATATGTTTTAGTTCCTTTGGAAAATTTTCACTTCAGAGGTCATAATAAAATTTTGAAATTCCCATATTTTGACCACGACTCCGAAGCCCTGGACCACTAGAGGTGGAATCGTTGCTCTGTCTTGTGTAAGGCCATAATTGTATGGTTGAGCAAAGCTTGTATTCAGGTATTGGCTAAATCTTGGTGCTGGGCAGCCCATAAAAGGGAACAGTCTACGCAGTGTCGCAGTCTATTGAAACAAGGAATACAGCTAACCAGAATATAGTCTGATAGTTGGGTGAGAACTAGGGATGACATGGGCAATGTAAAATAAGTTACGGTATTATTTTAGAATATTCTAGAATACGGTACGGTACCGTACCTACTTGAATAAAATCCAGAACATGCATCCTATTCTATTTTTATTGTCATTCAAATGTCTGAATGTAAGTTTAAACAAAATAGTAAATGTGTTGATGTCATTGTATTTAATAAGAAATAACACGAGCATTTGCAGGGATTGGATTTTATTTGATACCAAATGCTGAAATGGGCATTTGTCTCATTGTGTGGACAATGAAATTTAGGAATCTTGACAATAATTTTTCTGCCTTAGAACTGTTATAAAATTTAGGTGATGCTTATACTGACTGATATGATAACTTAGAAATAGATATGAAACAACTTTAACAAACTGAAGAATTGTTAATGCTGTAGTGCGACAGTGCCGAGTGCACTGAAACATACGGTACCCTACTTTTATCGATAGCCTATTTTCCTTTGATATGGTCTACATAGTGGTAGTCTAGTAGCCAATTATTCAATACAGCAATGCCTGAATGTTGAAGTTCATAATCGTGTGTAACACTTTAAATGATGGAGAATGTACTGATATATATATATCTGTATATATCACTTATTTCTGTTTTACAGTAGATTTCTCATCACACAGTCACATCTACTATATTATTCTATCAACTTTTACAGGTAATATAGTCCAGTACTACTCACATCACTGCATCATGGCCAGATTAGATTACAGCAAATGGGATCACATTGAGGTCTCCGATGATGAGGATGACACCCATCCAAATATAGACACACCAAGTCTATTCAGATGGCGTCATCAGGCGAGAGTGGATCGTATGGAAGAAAGGAAAAAGGAGAGGGAAAAGCTGGATGAAGAGAAGAATAAAATTGAGGAAATGCGAAAGAAATTAATGCAGCAAACTTTGAAAGAAGCTGATAAAAAAGAGGCTGAATCCAAATTTGCTGAATTGAAAAAACAAGAGGAAAAGTGGAAAAAGAAAGAAGAAGAGCTGGCAAAAAAAGAAAAATCGGAACCATGGAACATTGACACAATATGCAAAGAAGGATTCAGCAAATCTATGATCTCTAAACCTAAAAAAGAATCTGAAGAAAATCTAAACGAGGAGGAGCAAATGCAACGTCAAAAAGCATATGCTAAAAAATATGAAAAGGATCTCAAAACTTATGGGATGATGTCAAAAATTGATGACATTCAGAAATATCTTCAAAACCATCCTTATTTAGTTTGTGACAAAGCTGCAAACTTCCTCGTGATTTGGTGCATCGATTTAGAAGTTGAAGAAAAACATGCTTTGATGGAAACGGTCGCCCATCAGACTATCATTTTGCAGTTTATCCTTGAGTTAGCAAAAACTCTGAAACAAGATCCTAGAAATTGTTTCGTTTCATTCTTTGAAAAGTTCAAAAGAGCTGATGAATCTTATAATACTGGTTTCTATGATGAACTCGCAGCGTTCAAATTGAGAGTGAAAGATCGAGCTCAAATCAGAATTCAAAAAGCAATGGAAGAGATTGAAAGAGAGGAACGCGAGAAAAGAATAGGTCCAGGTGGTCTCGACCCACAAGAAGTATTTGAAACCCTTCCGAAAGAAATGCAAGATTGTTTCGAAAAGCGTGATATTCCAATGCTTCAGAAAATAATCGCTTCTCTCGAACCAGAGCAAGCTAAATATCATATGAAACGTTGTGTAGATTCTGGTTTGTGGGTGCCTGGTGGAGGAGGAGCAGGCGATGAGCAAGATGATGCTGATGATGCAGAAGAGGCAAAAAAAGAAGAAGAGGTTTATGAAACTGTTGATTAATTTATTATGTTTGACTAACAGTATAATATTTTTCCACTAATTTTATATGTTTAAAATATTGTTACTCACAATATTCATCACTACCATTGACTTCTGTTCACTAACCCATTTACATTTGTGTGAATGAATTAAGTGCAGACAATTTTTTTCAAATTTGGTGTTTATTACATGTATGACTATCCTTTATGCCAAAAAGAAAGCTACCCAGTCGACTCATTTTCATACTGTATTTCTTTTATCGACCAATTTAAATATGAAATTGATCAGAATTTGGGGTTATGTAAAACAACCTGACTGAACATAATATTCATTTTGATAAAGTCATGTTTAGGTGTCAATCTTAATTTCCTAGAACAAAAACAATGACCTAAACAAGTTTAGTTATTGGACACGTATTGGACATAACGATCGTTTCAAAATTTTGTTGTTATTGTTATTATTTGTCTCCGTGAACACGTTTTGAAGAAATCGCTTTTCTCTTCGAATACTGCACCAATTGCTTTGAAATTTTCAGTGGTTGAAGATAAAAATTTTCTCCAGAAGGCTATTACTTTTTTTTCTCGCTATGACGTCATCAAAATTATGTGACTCTACGTGTCCATATATTTGAGCATAGCTCTCTTGTTTATATAGAAGGGAATTATAGGGTACAGCTTGGTTTTGACCATCTTTTGCTGGTAATAAATTCTGTTTCCGATTTGCTAAGGCTGTATTATTGACTTTACTAGTGGAAATGAGTGATGACCCTCTGTAATTCAGTGATTATTTATCAATTGTGATTATCTCGTGATAATGTTATTTGTTTGATAACATGGTAAGATGCTGCCAATAAGCATTTAAAATGTAAATATGAATTTGCTTTTTAGACATCTATTTACTAGTTGCCTAATATTGTTCGATCAGCTAATTACTCACAGCAACAGAAAGTGTTAATGCTAACTTCTGTGTGAAGACCGACAAAATTCAGGTTTACTATGTTTATAATTGATTTAATTTTGTATCTGTAATATTCCAATATATGTTATCGAGAACTTGCTCTGAAATACAGACCTAAATACTTATTATAATTAGAATGTTGAAAGATACGTTTGACAAAGTCATCACGCAGGAAAGCTTTCTATGACCAATACCCGAGGCTGAATGTACCGTATTTTACAAAGCTTTTGTCGGATCTTGTTTGTTCGTATAAATACTACTGTACATGAAAATTTGATTGAATAAAATATAATGTATTTTGAACACAGACTGACTTCTGATCATGCCTAAGAAAAAAACTGGGGCTCGTAAGAAAGCTGAAAAACAGGGTGAGCGACAGAGGCAAATAAGAAATGCTAAAGATACAATCGACCTTGGACTTCATCCTTGCAACTTCACAATTGAATGTGACAAATGTGCCCACAAACAACGAAATCGGGCTTTTTGTTATTATTGCAGGTTAGCATTCAAAAGATATTGATTCTATCGTGAGCTTTTGCGATCAGCATCTAGTTTCTCTGCGATTGCTATGGAGGATTTTATATTTCGTGCTACCCCTACTTAAAGCCATCAGCTTATAACTTTGTGTTGCTTCAAATGTTGATTATGGCAATGATAACATCTTATTATAATTAGTGGTCTACGATGGGTTGATATGTGATTGCCCATTTTTTGCTTGAAATCTGAATAAATCGAGTTACCTTAAAATGCATGCTATTGACCCTCTAAATCAGGGGTGGGCAAACTATGGGCCGCAAGCCAAATCCGGCCTGTTGGGTACTTTAATTTGGCCCGCCTGATGCTGCCACAACCAAAGTTAAACCAAATTTTGATGTTTCAGCTAAAAATTAGCTCACGGAATTTGTTGGGATTGCAATAAACTTTTTTTAGCACGAGGCTTATTGTTTTCCACTTTTGCTTCGGTAACACTGTAAATATTGTATATAAAATGTTTACTTTTTATGTCACACTTACATGGCCCGCCAGTCTAGGTGGGCAAAATTTTTTACCGGCGTGGCAAAAACCTCGTCCACCCCTGCTCTAAATCTTACATGGGCAAACTAAAACCAAATTTTGATGTTTGGGCTAAAAAATCAAAGAATTTGTTGAGATTACAATCAAATTTACTGTAGTTTTGGCACAAAGCTTACTGTTTTCCAATATTGCAACACTGTTAATTGTTCATAAAATGTCCCAAAACCTGTTCTAAATACATGTATTACTAGTTTCTGTGGTGTTTCAATTAGTTATTACAAATATGTCTGCAGGGCAGTACAAAAGCTCCCTATTTGTGCACAATGCGGAAAACAAAAATGCATGAAATCATCAGACTGTACCATAAGGCATCCAGGCCAGCATGCCACAGGAATGAATATGGTTGGGGCTGTTTGTGATTTCTGTGAAGCTTGGGTATGCCACGGAAGAAAATGTCTTCAGATACATGCTTGTGAATGCCCTCTTACAAATGCAATATGTTTAGAATGCAGTAGAGATGTTTGGTCACATGGAGGTAGAGTGTTCAGAGTAAGTCATTTTTTTATTATTTTGTTATCCAGCTATTGGCCATGAGTTCAGATTGCTATAATAGTTTTTTAATTTATAAAGAATCATGATAGGTAATGCTAATAGCTTTGTTATATTGACATTCAGTGTTCATTCTGTGCTGGTCATTTGTGTGAAGATGATCAATTCGAGCACCAGGCATCGTGTCAAGTACTAGATTCAGAAAGCTACAAATGTGCTTCGTGCAATAAATTAGGACAATTTTCGTGTATGCAGTGTAAGGTAATCACACTTTTCTTACATCACAATCATTTCTATCCTGAGAGGAAATCATCAATAAAACTTTTATTCAAATTACAGGTGTGCTATTGTGACGATCATGTTAGACGAAAAGGCTTTAAATATGCCAAAGGCGAGCCACTACCTTGTCCGAAGTGCGGTTATGAAACTAAGGTACAATATATTTATTTCAAAATGATGAAGACTTTTATTCTAATTATATATATCTTTCCAAGGAAACCAAAGATTTGTCAGTTTCTACAAGGCGGTATAAATTTGGAAGACAAAAGGATTACGATGATGGTGAGCTCATTTATTCATTTTCAGTAATTAGTAGGCCATCTTCATTTAATCCATTCATGATCACTTCCTTAACAGATGAGGATTACCAGCCATACTTCAGCTATGGAACAGATCGATTCTCTTCTATGAGTTTACAAGAAGATGATGATTCCTCAGATGAAGAAGAAGAAAGTGACCAAGATTCACCATAGATCAATTTATTGTGCGGAAAATATTGCATATAATACAATTTTCAATTGCAGACAGACACTAGGAATGTGTCAATAAAATTTACCACAAAGGTCCGTTTTGAGTTAAATTTGCATTACCAAGCCTGCCGCAGATATATTGTCGCCACCACCAGCAGTCTGAGACACATCTGTGCATATCAGGTTTGGTGCAATACAGATCCTGACCAAGTCCAACTTCCCAGATCCAAAGTCGTAGCTTTCATCCCAGCAGGATACCGGTCGATCAGGTTCTAATGGTACACGAGTCGAACCTTCTTCTAAAGTCTTTGAGAATGATTCATCCATCAGCAGCCGAGACTTTGTAAATATAAATTGATATAAAGTATTTGAATAGCAATACTTTGACAAGATCTACATTGTTGATAAAATAATAATACAGTAGTTGGTTGAGAACATGGGTTAGCACCTTAAACTTAGATTTGCATTGCTAGTCCAGCAGAGGAGATGTTGTCCCCTCCACCAACAGTTTGGTAAACTTCAGTACAAACAAAATTTGGTGCAATGCAGATCTGGACAGTGTCATACTTTCCAGGAACAAGATTATAAACTTCTTCCCAACAAGATACAGGCCTCTCTGGCTCAAGATAAACTCTAGTAGATCCATCATGTAATGTTTTTGTAAACGAGTCATCCATCAGAAGTTTTGACTGCAATAATGATTTTTGAAAACTTGTTAGGCTATATGGGAAAGCTACAACTATCAACAATTAAAATTTACCTTTGAAATATTGACGACTTTGGTGCCACATACGTGACGATTTGCAGTCAGTGATGCATGCGCAGCTGCTGACATTGTATTTTTCCATTGTGACCCCTTGCGTGTCATAATGGCTTGAAATGCGAGGGTGTGGACATGTATTCTAGACACTCTTTGAAATTTTCTTCTCAAAATCTTATAGGCTGTTCTCATTTGATCCAGTACTGATGCAACCCTGTTTCAATTTCGAAATTGTGAAGTTTCAAGCTTGGCCCAACATTGAATAATTTTCTAATTTATTGTTATAGCCAATTTCTATAGCTTTGTGTCAAAGGGTCAATATTTATTTAATTTCATACCTTGGGTATGCTTCCGACAATATTGTGATGTTGCCATAACGCAAAGCACTTTCCAAATTAGGCAGTTCTTGCTCATTCATTCCGAATGAATCAACATACGGAGCCACATAATTTATTAAATCAGACACAAGATCCTCCTCGACAAATGAAGCAAGTTCAAAATGCACTAGTGGATTTGTTCCAGGTGGTGGGTTCTTTAACAAATTCCTTAAAGCAGTCAGTCTTTTTTCACGCTGACCTGTTGGTAGGGCACAATTTTAACTAACAGTTTCAAATTATAAAGTGACTGCACAGAACAAATTCCTCACCGGATTGAAAGGGAAAGTTATCCATCATCTGCAATCCACCAACCACCAAGAGCTTTGGATTGAACGATTTCATTGGTTCAATCAGGGGCTCTAATGATGACAGTGTGGGATTAGATTGGTCAGAATGGATGATAAACCTGGAAATAATACAGTTTAAAAATTGTTATGCAAAATATTCCTCATGTGTGATGAAGAAAAAATTCTGTTTGTTGACATGTTATGAGAACAAAGTGTTAAACACCTGTTTGCTCTTTCAGATGTGTATTGGCCCCACTTATCACCAGTTTTGTATTCCATTATAAGATGAATGTCTGGATCTTTGCTTTCAGTGACTGTAGATTTGATTCCTGGCCATAACACTACAGAATAACAAATGGAACTTTTTAGTATGACGATTTGCCAAGAAAAAGAAAATATAATTTACATCAATTTCTTACTTTTCATGAATTCATCATTGGTCGGTGCAGCCAACATAACATCTGCACCTTCCATTGCCAATCTATGTGCCATAACAGGAGCATTACCCCCACGATCACTGCGAACTCCTTCTAATGTCCGTGCCATCTTTACAATATCATCAAAAAGTGTCAAATTGCTGAAATATCGCCTAAAGCAAATAATATCACTTTAGTTCAAATCAAATAGGCCTATACATAATGTGACAGTGTGGAGAATCGTGCTAAATGCTAGGAATACGCTTGCCACCCTTCTCTGATTATCTTGTGTGAGTTCGCAGGTTGGAATCCAGAAGGGAGATAATTATGTGTGAGAGAATTGCTCTAGACTCCTCGCTGTCGTATGGTGGTTTACGTAAATGCTGTTCGGTTACGGTTTCATCGACCAGCAAGTTCATGCATTTGTCAACAAATAACTGGCTAATTAATCCCAACTTGACATGGATTGGTGACCGGACGAGAGGCCATGGTTTGCCATATGATTGAGCTGTCTTATAGATATGTAAATCTTATAACGCACATGATGATTTGCATATTTTTGAAGTTTTCAGAAAGTACACATACTCAGCTGCGGCACCATGCCGAAAGAAATATGCGAAACCTTCAGCCAAGTTGTCAAAATTTGTAATAACTTCATGATGGGATGATTTTGTTGGTGGTTTTATTCCAAGCTTCTCGAACAAAGGGAGTGCATCCACAAAGACATCAATACATGCACCAAACCCGACTGCAACCTAAAAATAACATATTGTGTGCATAAATATTTTTTATCAAAACAAGAGTTAGTCTGTGAGAACATGATCCAATTACAATTTTAAACTATCTTTTAAAATTAAATCATTCCAAAAGTACCATTAAAAGTTTGCCACTAAATACTGAAATATGCAAAGCCCAGTAGCCTCTCATGATATAAAGATGATTTAAAGATATTTCAAAAGCTTAGATACATCCTACATCAGTACGTACTTTAGCAGGACCAGGTGAAACTTTACTCTCAGCTCTGCGAAGGGAATTCAACACTTTTACATCCAGTTCATTATTGATATAGCTTCGCTGATGAGCAACAAAGAATGCAATGGCCAGAACCACAGTGGCAGTGCCATATTTGAAAGCGGATAAGTTGTCAGGAAGCATGATTATAGTTATGGTGCCTTAGAGATCTAGCTAAAACTGTAAAAACAGGTACCGGTACACATTCAGATGAGAACAGTACGCAGTACTGCTTATACAAGTAATAACTGAATAACGTGTCAATAAAGATATAAGAAGTAGGTAGACTATATAGTCACCATTCGAAACAAACACAAATGATTGCAAGACTGGAGTTGGAATAGTTCAGAGTTTACTTTACAGAAAAAGTAATACCGGTACAATTTATTGCTGTATCTTATCCCTAATTGACATGTGTTCCACGATCTGACGATTAGCTTATGTACGATATTCCGTTCTCTCCCCCCGCTTTCTGCAATAACCATAACGATATGAACCTGCGATTAACGTTCTTCACCTCAACCGCAACGATTATTTACAATGTATAATGCAGCGCGCTCATCGACATCCTTGTACGCTGCAGCAAGCGAGCTTCGGGCTATATCGATGACGCCATCATTTCAGGAAAACACTGCTGCGCCGCAGTAGAATCGCACGCGTCAATGCAAATACTGGTGAATACCGGATCGGACCAGAATGAGGCAGAAAGCTAACAGAGGGGAAAAAAACACGTCGCGGTTGTTGTTGAAAGATTGCACTTTTGGAAACCGCTTCGGGGAAATGAACAAGCGTTACTCTACATTTTAGAAGAGTAACATAAACATCTTATCAAAATGAATAATACGATTGTAGGTCAATGGATTAACGCTGTGTGAAAACTAATGACGTTAAAATTAGGGTCCGACCGATACTGCCTTTTTGAACCGATACCGATAGTTTTCTAAAACTAGGCCGATACCGATGTTTCCTCACCTACAAATATGGCTACAAGCAGGGCCGGATTTAGACCATGAGAGGCCCTAGGCTATTCCATTTGTGAGGCCCCTCCAAATTTTTTAGCTCAGAATTTCTCTCTAAACAACATCACATGTCATTGCTTAATGTTACAAATATGAGTGCATTAAACTCTCTTACACTCATTCTCCCCATTCATGGGTGCAAATTTTTAATTAAAAGAATAAAAATTTACTCAAGGCAGTTTTGCTTTCAATTTCTTTGATCAAACAACCGTTACAATAATTGTGAATTTTATTTACGAGAACATAAGAAATAGTTACAGCAATCAAATAGAGTAAGACTAGGCTACGAATTTTTTTTTTTCTAGCTTTCGTTAAAGCAAAATCATGCAAAAGTTTATCAAAATTTGTCTGTTCAATTTGTCACTCTCGATACACAGAATGCTCAGTGCAGACAACCTTTCTTGAGACATTGTCGATCCCAGTTTATTTTTGATGCTTTTGAGCCTTGAGAAAGATCTCTCTTCTGGAGTGGAAGTGGTGACTTCTCTACGGCCCATGGGCCGGGGCCACGGTCCATCGAAATGGGCCTCGGCCCATCAGGCTATGGGCCGCGGCACATCAAGTTGTGTAAATGGATAAAATAATATGGGAACGATCGTGTCCAATAAATATGTAAATCCTACCCAATCCCCGAACTTATAAATAGAACTATAATGTGAAAAATCTGAACAAAATTTTGTCCTAACCTGGTACACATACTTCAAGTGTATCATTTTTTGTAGCTTGGTATTTTGCTTTACTTTTATGTAAAGGCAGAAAAGCTTATCGTAAGAAAAAGGTTTGGTGGCATTCCGCGATTTTTTGGTTTGAATATTGACAATTTTGTAAAAATTGAAAATTTTGGTAAGATAATTGAATTTTTTTCTGATGGGCCAATTAGATGGGCCATAGAGAAGGCATCACCCTTGTAGCTCTTCTGAGAAAGGCAGTGTAAGTTTTTTCCTTGCACATAATTTCATGAAGTTCTTCATGAGACAAGGAAAAAGATTGCTCCTCTGTACCGATGAGCCCTTGCTTTTGTGTTTGTCTCACGTACAAATGAAAATGTAGAAGTTCATCAGAAAGTTTCGGGTCAACATCTTCTGGATACGCTTCCTTTAAAAGTTCCACGCCTCGTACAATTTCTACCTTAGTTGCTTGCAGATTAGCAAGAAAGAACAACAATTTTTTTTTGCAGAGTAGACTACGGTATTATAACATAGAAGCTTCAAGCAGAATGTGCATAACAATTGCCTTATCGGCTTTCCTCTCCCCCGGGATAAATATGTAAATCCTATCCTATCCTTTATTATGATGCAAAGACGTAATAATGGCTGTTTACAACGTGGTTGAAACCAGTTGTGTATATAATTTTCTACTCTGAAAAGCTTGATATATATATATACTATAGGTAGGATTTAAACTTGTCAAGTTTTTGAAAGAGTTACAAACTTCGAAACCGGATTTCGAGGCCCCTGGACGTTGAGGCCCTAGGCTCCAGCCTGCCTGGCCTAGTAGTGAATCCGGCCCTGGCTACAAGTAACAAGCAACACTCTGAGAATATTGTGTTTTTCTTGCAAAAGAATTGAAATCATGCAATTGTGTGCATGACAAGAAAGAACACATATTGTAAGGGCAGGAAGCTTATGAATCTCAATAACTCCAGTTCAACAGTCTCAGATGTAAGTGAGCAGAGTGTTTCTGCATTGGCTCTAATGCTGTTCTGCATTGGCACTAATCATACTTGCTCTTGTGTTTTGCTTTGAAATGGCTCTACAAATTATACCCATCTTTTTTTTTAAATCGGCGGAACCTTTCGACTTAATAATGATAAGCATATCCTAAATATTACGTCATCATTATGGCACACGAAGTATTGCCATACTTTGCTCTGACCGCTAGAACCAGCCATCTATTGCATATCAATACAAGAAGTTAAATCGCGCCTTGAACGACCAAAGCACAAGGGAGATCCAAGGCCGTGGAAAGTGGAAACGGCGAAAATTGTTTATTAATCAACGTATATTATTTGACATGAATAAGTCGTTCAAATGTTTCTCTCGTTTCAATTTGCAAGGCCACCACGCTCGCTTACAAAGTGTTAAATCCCGTGCCATACGTCCGTTTTGGATAAGCGAAACATAGTCAAAAGAATTCTTTATTAACCAACGTAAATTATTTGACACAAATAAGTGGCTCACGCGTTTCTCTCGCTTCCATTTGCAAGCCATCACGCTCGCAAACTCGCTTACGAATACGAAACGTCATCTACATATGCTTGTGAATATCTGTTCTCAGTTATGAATCTCATTAGGTCTCGTCATAGGAGTAGCTTGAAAGGTGAAATCAGTAGTTCGTGTATTTCTTTGAAAGTTACAAAATATAAACCCAATGTAAAAAAAGGGCTGGGCATTTCGAATCGAATATTCGAATCGAATAGTAAATTATTCGAATCGGTTCAGAGCTAAATTTCGAATCGCCGCCATCTTGTTTTTATCTTTCCGCTAATGGTCGAGGTGAACACCCCATTTCTTTTTCATTGGAGTCATATTTTTTCAACGGAATTCTAACATATGACTATTTTCTGTAGTGAGTTATTGATAAAACGTGTTTGTTATTCTGTGTGAAAGCTCAGTAATCTATCTGAGTGAATCATTCTATGTCTTCAGTAATTCATTTGTTGAGAGGACCAATTACTATAATAAAGTCGCTTACAATTATATATTTTCAAGTATTCGATTCGAAAAAATTATTCGATTCGATTCTGAAATCACAAGGTATTCGAAAATGCCCAGCCCTACTTACGAAGTGTTAAATCCCGTGCCGCCGTACGTCCGTTTTGCGTTTTGGATAAGAGAAACTTAGTCAAAAGAATTCTTTATTAATCAACTTATATTATTTGACACAAGTAAGGGGTTCACGCGTTTCTCTCGCTTCAATTTGCAAGCCGTGATTGGCCGATATATATCGGTAAAAGTAGCCGATACCGATAGTTCGAAATTTGTAAAAAACGTGGCCGATATATCGGCCGGCCGATATATCGGTCGGACCCTAGTTAAAATCATAGAAAAGAGTTGAAAGTGTAGTCATTATTATAACAATCCAGATTTCCTATGGAAGTTACATTTTGTAGCCGATTATTTCAACGTCATACATATCAAATTTGGCGATACCGATCTATCTGTTCAGTCCAAGTCTGACCCATGAATTAGAACAATCAGAACCCGAAATGATGTTAGACTTCAATAATTAACGTGGAACCCACAAATCCTTTAAATCACTATTCATACGTAAATATGAGTTAAACAGGCTCATTTCCTTTTGGTTCATGTTGGACACAAACGGGGCCCATGGGTCGACTTGCTAAATTCTTGCCCTGGGAAAAAAGCTTTCACCGCAACCAATGGAACAATTCATTTCCAGACTATTTTAAAACATGCGACTTGTAATTATCATGGCGGTGGGCCTGGATTTTCAATTATAGATTAAAACTTTCGAATAATCAGAAAGCGGATTTCAGTTTATATTCTATAGGCTACCATGCAGTACCTCAATTGGACTTTCGTATCCATGTTTTCATCTACATATGCTTGTGAATATCTGTTCTCAGTTATGAATCTCATTAGGTCTCGTCATAGGAGTAGCTTGAAAGATGAAATCAGTAGTTCGTGTATTTCTTTGAAAGTTACAAAATATAAACCCAATGTAAAATCGCTATCAGCGGTAATGCAGCAGCAGAAGTCTCACTGATATAGAATAAGAAAAGTAATCGAATCTATTTGTTGGACTGCTATTTTCCCGAATAGTGAATCTGTCTGTACATGTTTAAAAGATTTATTATTGTGTAGCTTTGCTTTAAAAGTAGCAAAGCATTGTTTTTAATTTTGGTTGGCACGCGGAAGAATTTTGTTGCTAAATTTAGCCGATTTTGGCACGCGAGCCGAAAAAGGTTGCCCACCCCTGACCTAATCGATAGCAAGAAATCTCACTTACACGTTCAAAATGATTGATATTCTATGTTTTGCATTAATTGTGAATAAGAACGCGATATTTATAAGTAAATTGATATCGGTTTTCATATTTTGTATATTTGAAAATCTCGTAGTTCTGTACTTCGTAATTTTGTTTTTGAAAATATAGGACATCCCCCGAAAATAAGCCCCATGCAGTGTTATTTTCGGGGAAACACTGTATATATATGTAAGTGAGTCTGGAGGTAAAGCACCGTTTTTGGTCAATTGGAGCGCCCAATACCACAGTAGTAGCTGAATGTCGACCAATTAATCGGTTTATAAATTGTGCGCCTTTCATAGTGTTTCTTAGCCTTTTTCCAGCCTGTGTCTTGTATTATTCCATCACCACGTCGATAGGGTGTACCGTACATAATGTTGTAAAGTACACACATGGTATACAAAACTTGTTAATGAACAAGATATCATATGTTGGTATAAATGTGATCTAATAGGACATAGGTTGTGGGGAGATGAGGTAAAATTGGACATAAGTACACCTAAATATTTGGAAGGGAGATTATCATGGGTGTCAAGAAGGTTTATATTAAAGTCACCCATAATTAAACAAGAGAGCTATGCTCAAATATATGGACACGTAGCGCCACCTAATGGCAATAATTTTGATGACGTCATAGCAAAAAAAAAAGTAATAGCCTTCTGAAGAAAATTTTTATCTTTAACCACTGAAAATTTCAAAGCAATTGGTCCAGCAATCAAAGAGAAAAGCGACTTTTTAAAAACGTGTCAAAGAACAAGAACAACAACATAATATTGAAACGATCGCTATGTCCGCTACGTGTCCAAAAACATGGTTTTGGGCCAATGCCAGCTGTTCGAATAGAGAAGACATTGTTCCAGTGAAGAATAGAATGTTACGTTGGGTGTGCTTATAAATGACACCAATAACGAGGCTTTGAGAGCAATTGAACTCGATCCACATGTACTCACAGTTTTGAAAATATATTCTTAATTCTTGAATTGTTTGAAAATTCATGCTACTTTTAATATAGAAACCCATACCATCGCTTGAGTTGGGAGGGGGCATGCATGGATAGCCCGGGGATGTAAACATTTATTACAGTGGCCTCACTTTTAAACCTAGTCTCGCTCAACGCTATCAATGACCCACCGAGGACTAAAAACCTTTCCCGAATTCGGCTAACAACTCTGCCATGAGCAAAAGTACGATTCACAAATAAGTACGCTTACCAAGTCTGTAAAACCTTCAGTAGATCCCGCGCGTTGCAGGCCACGAAATAGGTTTGATGGTTGGATCACGCAGTGAAGAATTTCATTATATATACAGCAAAAACTGACAAAGGCACGGATTGGTCAGATAGATGCGGTCAACCTTCTCAAACTAATTGGCCCAATCATAAAGCTGGTCGCTAAACTAGCATAAACCAATAAAAAGAGTGAAACCGGTCACGACACGTCGCACTTGTGTCGATAATCCAATAAATAACGACCACAACCCACATGAATTTCTAAAACACATGCTATTTATCGGGCGTGCCAGTAACTTTGAAGTTTTACTTTGATAACATAAATCTTAATATTTTCGAAGAACTTTGGTTGATTTGTGTCGGTATTTAGCAAATTATCGAAGTATACAAACTGTAAGACTACAATCAAATTATTCAGACTCTTAAATTGTAGTATATTATACGGTATATACAATTTTGAACATGCCCTCTGAACTATACAATAAATCTGATGTAAAGTGTCGAATAGTAGAAAATTGAAAATTTTCTGTCTTCATTTTATAATTTCATATTGTGATAATCCATACTGACAGTCAGGAGCCTCGGATACCTGTAAAGGTCTTACATACTGACCAACACGATTCAATGTTTAAATATTCACTGCACTGTATTTCTATAAAAATCTGTACTATTGTATTGATAAAGTCTCTCCCCCGGCCTAAGGCAGATAGTCTCCCTAGGCCCTAGGGTGTCAAGCTTCTTTCTTTTTCGCAACGTTTGAAATCATTAAGTGCTTTCCACACCCCCATTCTACAAATAATGAAAAAATAATATTTTCTTCGTAGGGAAATTGCAAAAGTAATGACATACCAAACATTCAATTTATTGTCTATGTGAAACAAAAATAGGGCAGGACCAAAATTGAATTGGTATTACAATAAAGAGTAAATTATAATGTCTCAGTTGAAACAAGGGCTGAGAAAATTTTCTAATGTCGTTTTCCACTACACTTCGCTTTAATAGCCCAGCCCTGTTTTCTTCAACCAATCTTAATGATTCAGCGTTCTCGGAGTCGCACTCCATAGGTAAAGTTATCGACACCGTACCCTTGGGTAAGAAACTATGGCCGAGATAATAATCCAAACCAGTCTGCTTGAACAAAATTCAAATGGATCAGAGGTGAAGTAGAGAAACAATTGACAAAAAAGTGAACAAGCAAGCAAAATTATGATCCTGTGCACAGTATCATGCATGAAAATAAATATTATATGAGTTTGTTCTCACTTTATTCAACATTATTTTCTATTTCAAAAGGCATGTCTCGATAAAAATTATGTGGCTTATCAATCCATGGGAATCTGTGCAAGTTCCAGGTAATTTTCGATTCAAGTTCATCAAGCGCATAGAGAGTTAATATTAGTTTGTCATGATGGAGCAAGCTCCAAACATTCAATCCAACCAGTGGCATTAAATTGACTTCTTTCTGATGTTCAACTGCTTTGCAGATATTTTCACATTCATTAATTTCGTCTTTTTCTGTATAAACAATAAGAATTGAATTTTCTTTCATATTTCTTGTTGCAAACGTTTCAAGCAACTTGTCATGATCTGGAGTAGGAACATTTAGATTTTTAAAAATCAGCAAATCATCTTGAAAACACTTGACAGACAATGCACTGGTCAATGCTTTGAGTCTGTCATTCGGATTCATCTTATGGAATAAAGTTCTTGGACCACGGGGACCGTTTGAGATGCCACCTCCTTTCCATTGTGGTGCAACAGTACTCCCATGTCTAGCCCTTCCCGTTCCTTTCTGAGGCCAAGGCTTTTTTCTTCCCTTACCCATCTCACCTCTATTTGGTTGCCATGTGTAATCAACTTCTCTGTAGTTACGTTGCCACTTTTTACATAGATATAAAAAGTCTATCCTTGGATTATCTGCAAAAACTTCTGGATGAAGCTCAACTGCCTCATCAGGAACATGTTCAATTTCTTCAAATGTATGCAAAAAGACACGTGGAGGAATCCGATGTGTCGGACAATCTTTTACTTTTCGAGCTAGCACACAGTCTTCTGGCACCCGAATAATATCTTGCATGTCTCTTTTTTTAAGTTTTTCTTTGTCTGTGCCAAATACAACTAAATTTGGGGGTAAGTTAGAAGTGTTTTCAGGAGTCATTGAGCCTGTTTCAATACACCTCCATGATATTGTGTTATAGACTGGTGGTCTTAGTTTTCCATAAATCCTCAGTGATAATGTACTCATAACACGAGAGCACATTTTGGTTGAGATATTATAGTATGAATACTAAGAAAATCAATTAGGGATGTAACCACACTAATATCTAATTTTTGAACAAATCCAACTTTCACACTGAAACAATATAATTATATGATAATTATTAAAGGCTTTGTGTATGTAAGTTTTCTCAAAGTAGCCTTTGAAATGAAAAAGTCACTGATAGAAAGATACAATCAACAGGTTTTGCGCAATACACATGAACTATTGTTGATACATCGGGGCTGAGAGAAATCAATTTTGAATTTTTAAGCAGATGTTCTTGAAAATGGAACTTCTGACAATGAATTTAAGTGACAATTAGGGTCATTTAAAGTAAATGAATAAAATATCCGCTAATGCCTGAATTAAGTAATATGATATGCCCAACCTTTTATAGTACATTCCTTATTTGGTAATTTAGGTTTTCAATTCCTCCCGCACAATGCATGTTATTCGTTAAATCTTTAAACAAACCCTAGCTCTGTAGCTAATACAATATTCTGGTATTAGGAGAAACTCGCACTCTCAGACTCTAGCTTTTGCAGTTTGAATATCGTAGTTTATATTGCTGTATGTACGGTCTTACTACTTACTGAATACAGCGCGAAACACCGCAAAACAGAGGGAAACAGCGCATAAATTTTAGTATGATACACACAATACAAATAAAATTCGTCCACGGTTGGGGAATGCTGTGATGAAGAAACTGAAATCCAATTTACATAAAACAATGGCGAAAAGCTCAGATGAACAAATTGCAGAACTTTGTTAAAATAAAAAACTTGTGCTTCAAACTTGTTTACGGGTACCGGTACCGGTACACTAAACTGCCAAATACAATGGCAGAATGGTGTGTATATTACCGTACTGCATTAACACTGACCCAATCAAGCACTCGACCATTGAAATGATCTGATGAGATACCGGCATACCGGTACCGGTACCGGTAATGGATGGCAGAATGGGGTCTAGTGTATTTTCGTACCGGTACCTCAAGTACGATTTTAATCATTGACATGTTTTAGACCCACTCAGCACTATAGTATAAAACTCAGCTGTTTGAATCACTTGCTCTGAAACTTTTTTTGGGATAATATAATAAATTATAACAAAAAGTATATAACCATTCGAGCAATCATAAGATAAATAATCCAATATTCATTTTTTATATGTCCATTCCATCAGTGTTTGAGGTGTTGATCGCATCGGCATACAATTCATCAATTTTTAGTATATTGAGTTAGATTATGTACAATAAACGTAAAAAATTAAATATATTAGACATGTTCATTCTAATACATACTAAATTTATACACACTAGATTTATAGTTCAAATACAATTCCTTAGTATTTCAAATTCTCTGACAAAATTTGGTGATTTTCTATTTTTTTCAATGTTGAGTCTGTAAGTGATTGCAGTTTTTATTTGTTTGATAACTAGGTGCTGATTAGGGGGATTACCTTCGAATATAACAGAATTTCTTTGTATCCATATTTTATATCTAGTGATTGAAATTAAATAAACAATAATATCTAAATCTCGTCTTGTAATGTTGGAATGTAACAAATAGCTTAAATCCAATAAAACACAAGTTTCATAATTTTTCAAAAGTCTGGCATTATTTAATTTCCTAACAGTATTTTCCATAAAATCAAAAACATAATCAAAATATTCACAATTCATTAATAGATGGCTAACAAATTCTGGTTCTTTTCCACATAACACACACATATCATTTCCTGCTATATTTCTTATTCCAGGTTTTGTTTTTACTGGTAAAATATCCCACATTAACTTGAAATTAAAGGTTTTCATATAGTTTGCCAGAATATTATTATGAATATTCTCACATGCAATATTTAAATTACAATTGCGTAGAAAAATTAATCTGTCCCCAGTCATAGAAATAACAATTTTTTTATAAATAGTTTTATGCATATCTTCTTTTATATCTGTACTACTTATGTTATGCTTTCTTAAAAATTCTAATATTAATCTATACTCACTTTGAGGACAAAATCTATGTAAACATGTATTTTTAGTTCTAATCCCCTAAAATGTACTAAGTTGTTGTCCAATATTGTATTCAACAAAGGACATACAAATATGATTGTAATCCTCATTATAATCACATTCTCTGGCTTTATAATAATCCAAGACACTAATTATGTACATGCACATTGTAAAAATGGGTATGTTAATAATATCATAACCCCCCAAATTTTTTGGTTTGCACAAATTCCCTATTTTCAGTATGCTTCTTCCATTGAATACAAATTTTTCCACCATGTCATTCACTCTTTTTCCTATAGAATTTGGCATCGGAAATACTTTCGATAAATATAGAAACTGCGGCAACACCTTTAATTTTACTAATATACATTTGCCCTCTAAAGTCAACTTGATATCCTGTAATTCTCTTACAACATTTTTTGCTTCCTCTAAACATTTCATCCAATTAATTTGACACATATCTATATTCCCAAATGTAACATTTAATATTTCCATGGATTCAACTTCACTGATGTCTTGTTGTGGGTTTATTCGTCTCCAAATTCCAATTCTCATTAATTTTGTTTTAGATTTGTTCAATTTCATACCTGTTGCTATTTGATGCCTTTCAATAACTTTCAATGCTTCTTTTATGGAATTTTCTTTACCTAATGCCAGAGTCACTTCATCAGCAAATCCAAGACTTTTCAATTCATTATTTCCTGGTACAACAATTCCACGAATATTATTTTCTGTGTTTATATATATTATAAGTGGTTCTATTGCAATTATGAAAATAAACATACTAATCGGATCACCTTGACGAATTCCTCTTTCAAATTTAATTTTAGAAGTCAAATACCCATTTACTATTATTCTAGCTTCAGAACCTGTGTATAATTCCCGAATCAAACTTATAAATTTGTTTTCAAATCCAAATTTTTCTAACACTTTATATAGGTACTTCAAATCTACAGGGTCAAAGGCTTTCATGAAGTCCAGTGACAATAACGCATTTTCTCCAATATAATTTTTTTCTTGTTGACATACATCTCTAATAATACTGAGTATTTCACTAATTCTTCTTCCTGGTATTGCAGCTTGGTTTTTGTCTATTATATTAGGTAGTAAATTTTGAATTCTATTTGCTAAAATCTTTGTAATAATTTTGTAGTCTGAATTTAATAGAGTTATGGGTCTATAGTTTTTTATTTCATCTTCTGCCCCCTTTTTGTGTATCAGTGTTATGTAACCAATTTTTAAAGTATCAGGTATATGCTCTTCTTCATACATTTCTTTTATTACCAATATGAATTCTTCTTTTATTATGTCCCAGCATTTTTTGTAAAATTCTATTCCCAGACCATCTGGTCCTGGAGTTTTTCCTTCTTTAAAACTTTTAATAGTTTGAAATATTTCTTCTCTTTCTATATTTTGCTGTAATATTTCATTTTCTTCTTGTTGCACTTTTCTCCCTGTTGTTGGTATCCTATTTAAAAAAATATTCTGTAGTGTCTCATTGCATTCAACTTTACTATAGAGTTCTTTGTAAAAGTCTGTTACAATATTCATTTTGTCCTCAAGTTTATTTTGTATTGTGCCGTTTTTGTCTTTCAATTTTCTAATTGTTGTTTTCATATGTCTGGTTTTCAATTGTTTGAAAAAGGATTTAGTACACTTTTCGTAGTTGTCATATTTTTCTGCAGTATTCTGGATTAATAGTTTTTTATCTTTCTCTTTTGTTTTCTTGATTATTTCACTTTTCTTTTTATTTAGCAAGGTCAAAACTCTTTCTCCATTATCCAATTTTTCCTTAAGTTCTTGTAATTTTTCCATATCTCTTCTATGTTCCTCTTTTTCTACTCTGGACATCTTAACAGAGAATTCAATTACTAGGTCTTTTATTTTTTGTTTCATCTCTATCCACCATAACGCCTTGGATTCAAACAGCCATTGTAATGTTTTCCAGTTATCCCATTTATGTTTCAGTTCTATCATAAAATCATTATTTTCATAAACTTTAACATTGTTTTTCCAATATCCTCTACCTCTTTCTTCCATTGTTGTGTCTACTTCAACTTCAATTATGTATTTATCATGATCAGAAAAAATTGTGGGACTGCATTTATAATCTCTAATTTTACATCCATTTTTAGTACAGTAAAATCTGTCCAATCTTGCTTGAACCATGTTGTTACGCCAAGTAAAAAAGGGATTCGCATTTGTAAACCATTCAATGGAATCAGCTAACTGAAACACTTCTATCAATTGATCAAGAGACTCTGAAACATATTCTCTACGTGGTCTCTTATTCACATTCCCGAAACGGTCCCTATCAACATCATGTACACAATTTGTGTCTCCCCCTAAAAATACATTGAATGGTGAATACACAAAACGATATAATTTATCATAAAACACTTCTTGCGTTCTTACTACAGTTCTACATGGGGCATATATATTTACTAAATGTATTACTTCACCACATATATTTATATCTGTAGCAAGTACCCTTCCTTCCCCATCCCATGAAATATTTTCAAATTTATGATAAGCCAGTTTTGATTTCAGTAATATTGCTACACCACAAGAATTAGATAGCCCCGAATTCCATAATGAATTTCCCCATTTCCAATCCCTACTCCATTTACTTTCTATATCATTGGTACTATGAGTCTCTTGAATAAATATAATGTCTGCATTTTGATTAGATAATTCTTTAAATAAACTTTTTCTTTTCTGATCATCACGAATTCCATTAACGTTTAAAGTTAGCATTGTTATGTATATCACCATCAGTTTTTTCTTATATATATTTTGATAGTTTCTTATAAAATTTTAGCTTGTTTCCATATTTTCATCTACTTCATTCTTTCGTTGTAATTTTATTACTGGTTTTTGTTGTCTTTGTTCTTTTGCTTGTTTTTTTCTAACTGGACTATGTGATATATCACCTTGTTTGTCATCTTCCAATTTTTTATTTTCTTTTCTTATGTATAATATAGTGCTTCCTGAGCTGTAGGTATTTTCACAATCTGTTTCTTTATTTTTCCTCAATTGTATACTTCGTTGCTCTATTTCTTGTTCATCACTTTCATCAGTACTAATTTTAGACAAGTTTCCAAACATTTGAGCCCTGATGTCGATTTTTTCTTTTTCTCTTGTAGTTTCATTTGGTGTGCTCTGTCCATCATTAGGTTTCATTTCATCTGGTTTGTTCTTCATCTTTGTATGGTTCTGTTTTGTTTCAATATCATCAATTGATTTTTCTTTAAGGCTTGATAAACTGTATTCAGTGGATGATTCAATCACTACCAGTACGTCTTTTTCTTTACTTGCCGAATCAGGGTATTCGGAGGAATTTCCCTGCAGCACTGCATTTTCTTCATTTATTGAATTGTCATACTCGGTTGACGATTCATTTACTACATCAT